GAAGCAAATGCTTATTAATTCCCACCCCTTACTTACTGCTAATCAATGATTATCCTTTAAATCATTTCTGCAAGTTATTCCTACTCACATCTTTACATTTATACATACATTTACAATAATTTCTCTCTTCAATCACCTCTCTTCATTCTCATAGTTTATCAAAAAAGTGTTTCTGTACATCCTTTTAAACTGAATTAGGCTCCTGCTCCAAACCATTCCATAAAATCCCCCCACAGATTGTTATACTCATACTTCTCAGAGTTGTTCTGACCTTGAGTTGTTTAAAATGTAGATTTCCTCTCAAATTATACCCACCCTCTCTGTCTACGAACAATGTTTTTAATTTCTTAGGAAGTAGATTATGTCTTGCTCTGTACATGATTTGTGCCGTTTTAAATGTAACCAGATCAGTGAACCTCAATATGTGTGACTTCAAAAATAATACATTAGTGTGTTCAAGATATCCAACATTATTGATAACTCTTATAGCCCTTTTTTGTAATGTGCATAACGGCTGTAGGTTGGTTTTGTACGTGTTTCCCCAAATCTCCACACAGTAAATCAGATATGGCAATATTAGTGTGTTATATAGAGTATACAATGAGTTATAGTCCAGAATGTATCTGGCTTTTTCCCAATATTGCGAGCCAGTTTTGCTTTTACATGAGTGATATGAGGTTTCCAGCTGATTTTGTGGTCTCAAACCACACCAAGGAACTTACGGTAATTTCATATACGCTTTCTATGTTTTATGTTATCTAGTTATTAATTGCAACTGTGGATTTGTTTTATGTTTTCCAAATAACATAATCTTTGTTTTGCTTATATTTAATGATAATTTGTTTGTGTCAAACCAATGTTTTACTTTAATCATTTCTGCTGTTATCACGTCCATTAGCTCTTTCAAATTGTCACCGGAACAAAAAATATTAGTGTCATCTGCAAATAAAATAAATTCTGCAAATGTCGTTGATGTATATTATGAACAGCTTTGGACCCAACACGGACCCCTGAGGTACTCCACAAGTTATGTTCATGTATTCTGATTTATGTTCACCAATTTCAAGAAATTGTTGTCTGTTGCTTAAATAATCTCTCACCCAGTTTAATCCCACCCCTCTGATGCCATACCGTTCCAGTTTTATCAGTATAATATTGTGATCTATGGTGTCAAATGCTTTTTGTAAGTCTATAAATATTCCCACTGCTTGTTTTTTATTGTCCATGCAGTTTGCTATTTTCTCACTTAATTCCATTAGTGCCATAGATGTTGATCTATCTTTCCTGAATCCATATTGACTGTCGTCCAAAAGCTGATGTGTTCCATGAAACTGTCAAGTCTTTTTGTAAAAAGCTTTTCAAGGATCTTGGAAAACTGAGAGAGCATATAGTGTAGAACTTCAATAAATTATTTGAGCTAATCATGCACTAGCAATCTATGCAACATCCAGCTCTTTAAATGCTAATTTAAATGTTGCAGGATTATTAAAAGGCGTTTTCTTGCCCCATACACAAGATGATCTCCCAAATGTAATTGTTCTATTTTTGCTATTGTCACTTAATACAACTTTATATATGCTTCATTTTACTTTAGACATAAGTGCAGTTATCAATCAATCATCAGAAGTACAGGACACATTGTGGTGTTCTAACAGAGATGTTATACCAATGAGAAAATGCATTGTAATGTGAAATAAAATAAAATGTATTTTTTATTTCAGTTCATTCTTACTGTTCTCATATGCACTGAACTAAACCAAAACATATTATGTTTCTGATAAACTGATTAATTTCCAGCAATCAAACAAAAATACCATATATTTACTTATTTTGTGTGTATGTTTTCTCAAACTCTAAGACATTGTGATGGGTATTTCTCATAATGTTAAAATACTTATTATTACTACTACTTATTATTAAAACAAAATACAAATTAATTAGTAATACATTTAGGAAAAGTGTTATCTGCAGCCCTGCTCAAAAATTTATTTAAACATTAGGTTTTTTTTATCAATGAATGGGAGTAAGCAGAGCATTGAAGCCCGAATTCATTGCTCTGCACTGCACATGAACCTGGAAGTGGAAATAAAAAACTGTCAAAATTGAAATCTGAAATGTAATATTTTGAGAAGTTAAGAGCTCAAATGTACAGTATTGGTATACAACTGTAAACTAAACAGTAATACTGGGAGGGTGTAAGAATACATACTGAATGAAGAAAACAGCAACATCAGAATAATGTTCACATGCCACATTTGAATGGTTTCTGTTGCTAAAGTTATTTGAATGGAAATCGTAGGCCTATAATTGCTTTGAGACCCCTTTGAGTTTAAATACCTAATGTTTGTTGAAGAAAGTAGGTTTTCTATATTTCTCCAATTCACTTATATTATAAATTTTCAAAAATATATAAAATGATATTCCAACAATATACAAATATAGAAAAAATGAAATATACTGGTTTAAAATGGAGACATTTTTCTGAACCGAACGTTTGTAGAAGTAAAACATAAAATGGAGGGAGAGAGACAAACAGAGAGAATGCTTGAATCACCTTTTATACTAATAAGAAACCCACTTTTTCTGAAACATTTACTTTAATCCAGTAAAATATAGCTGAACTTTTGTAACCATTAATTAAGAATGATGTTCTATTGCAAAGACACTTAGGCACCATCACCAGCATGGGGCGCTGAACATCTCTCTCCTCTCATTGGTGTCAGGTGACCCACTGGTGACCCGGATGTTGACATGATGATTTTACCCGGCTACCATGAAGAACTGCTAGCATCTTCACCTCATATTCTTCATAATAACACAAATTGATGCCCTGAAAAACATCTCAAATTCGTGTCTGAGACTTTATTCTTTTTCTCACACACAAAGACAGACATTTATAAACATGTCACAAGAAGGATATACATCACCAGCAGGGATAACCAGCGCAGACACGAGGTTTGTTGATTTATTAATTACTAATTGTTTAACGTTTGCTTTACATAATGACACAATGCTGGCAATGTTACCGTCAACCGGTTCTACTGACGCAAAGTATTGTAATAATGATACACAACATTAGCTAGTAATGATTGAATGAACGCTGTCAAGTTTCTCAGTCACAGTGAAATATTGACCTAACATTACCAATAAAACTCGACACACATTTTTGGACAACTGAAACACATGTTGCAAGCTGTTTTTAGCAGAAGAGTTGTTAAAGTTAGCTGTATTTTGAAGGGTATCTTGGTTACGACTAGAGGTCTTAATGCTTTTCTGTTCATCAAAAAGGCAGCCATTCTTTAATTATATTTTGTATATTTAAAGCTCCAAATGTGTCCTTTAGAGACTCTGTAAGCATCAGATAAAAAATATGTTTAAATGAATGACAGGACCTAACTGCGTCAACGTCTGAGAGCTAACGTTACAAAAGAGAGCAACACATCCGGGCATTTTGCCTCTACGTCCTCACTGATGAGACTAGCTCGCTAACGTATGTGTGATGGACAAACCCTCTTATCCAGTTACTATTAAATTGTTAGCCAACACACTCACATGTGGTCATTTAACTATGTTTTATCATTGCAATTCAGAACTTCTTGCAGCATTATATGTGTATTTACAAAGTCTATGTTTTAACTCATTTCTATCTCCTTTATGAATTGTCTTTTTGTTCAATATATTTCGTTTTTTAATACTTATTGGTTAATACCTATTTAAAGCACTTTGAATTGCCTTTTTGTCTGAAATGTTCTTTATAAATTAACTAACCTTAACCTTAACATGTCGAGTTTTTGAAATTTAAAGACCCTGGTTAGGCAGAGAAATATGGCATAATGTTCCAGCCTTAGCTATTGGTATTGGCTTAGCTATATATGGTTTCACTAACTAGCTGACAGTTAAAGTTAGCATTTTAAATATCAATATAATTGACATTTTTCCCTCGCAAGGATAATAAATACATGTAGCCTGCCTGATATTGAATCTCAAGCCGGTGACGAGTGATATTTTTCTAACACTGTTTGTGGATGCTTGTTCAACAGCTTGAATTCAGATGAATCGCAGAGGACCAACCCCAAGAAAACGCCTATTCAGATCCTGCATGAATATGGCACCAAGAGTGGCAACCTCCCTGTGTACGTGATGGAGAAGGCTGAAGGAGAGGCTCACCAGCCCAGCTTCGTCTTCAGCGTGAAGATTGGAGATGTGTTATGCACAGGTACTGTCCCGCCTCCTGCTGGGCTTCAAGCTGCCTGTCACCTGAGCCTTCTTCAAGTCTCAAGTGACAGCAGCCAAGGAAGAATAAACATACAACACACACTGGCTATTGTTACTGCTCCTCATCATTTACCCAAAAGAACAAACACAGATTCACGTGCATTCAGATACGAAATGAATGACAGAAAGATGCAGGATTATTATTCAAGAATCTTCAAGTGAAACAACTTAGTAATTATAATGAAGTAAACAATGATTGACAGTTTTTTAACAAAATAAAAGTCTTGAAATATAGTTGAAGCTAAGAAAAGGAACATGCATTTGGGCAATGTGTTTTTATTTCAGTTAAAAATCCTATGACTAAAATTCAGAAAGAGCACTCCAGCAATGCGTTATCTTTGTTTACAGGCTGGTTGCTGCAGTATTCTTTAAAATAAATCTTCTATTTACCTTGTTTGTTTTAAAACTAAGGTATTTGACTTCAGGGAAAGAACAGAGCAGGTTAAGAGAGAGGATGAGAAACAATTCCAAAGCTATCAGAGGTGATGAGAAATAATCCAGTTTTTAATCGACTTCTTCAAAAAACAGTATGCTTTTGAAATGGGACATTTTTGTCCCTCTAGTCCCATATGTCCTCTCCAGTAGCCTCCCAGGTTAACCTTTACTGTCTGTATTACAGGACACCATACTTACTTTTGTGTTTATGTTTTTGTAATTGTATTTTGTTTCAGGTCAAGGTCCCAGTAAAAAGGCTGCTAAACACCAGGCGGCAGAGGCGGCTCTCAATATTCTGCAGATAGACGCTGGGGCAGTGTGAGTAGTGCTGGAAGTGTTACAGAAATAAAACTGATTAGCAGCGAATATTGATCGATTAATACTTAAAGCCGTTTTTGAAATACAATTTCTGTCAAATGAATGAATGAATGTGTCGTCTATGGTAGTAAACTGCATTCATTCTTTTATGAGTTGGAGTTAGACTTAAATAATGTATTATATCAGTTGATAATAAAATAATTAGTGGTAGGAGATTTAATGAAAATAACATTATGCTAACATTTGAACTGAACTAAATAAATACAATTGTTTAACTGACATCCTGTTAATCTGTAACCGCTGTGGGAATCACTTTGACGTCATTTTTCAAACAGGAAGGTTCACGTGAAGTCTGAGAGTAACGGTGTCGTATCAGAAACCAACAACCACCCCAACTCAGTGGGGATACTACAGGTAGTGTGTGTGTGTGTGTGTGTGTGTGTGTGTGTGTGTGTGTGTGTGTGTGTGTGTGTGTGTGTGTGTGTGTGTGTGTGTGTGTGTGTGTGTGTGTGTGTGTGTGGTTATTGCAATTTGCAAATGAGTGTGTATACTTATTTCCAGGTTGAATAGTAAAAAACAAAAGTAGCTTCATAAACGTATTTACTTCCAGAGATTAAATATCTTGTTTGTTTATTAAACTGTAAGTGAAAGTGGCATGCAGCAATAGCAATATATTTCATAACACACATCCTAGAAGTCACCTCTATTGCTACAAAACAACCGATTACCGTAATTTTCAGACTATAAGCCGCGCCTTTTTCCCCATTTTTCGACCCTGCGGCTTATATAACGGTGCGGCTAATCTATGGATTTTTACAGCTAACGGCCACTAGGGCACCTCCTAAATCTATGGATTTTACAGGTTACAGTCCACCACCTTTAACTCTATGGGCTCTATGGCCGGTCCGCGCCCCCCACCTTTAAGCGGCGGGCTTCCAGCAGGAAAAGCTGGAGGCCGGAAAAGAGTGAGACAGGTAGCGTGCAAAAGTAAAAGTGGAACCGAGAGTGGTACGAGAGACAGAACGAGAGCAAGACAGACAGACATTACGAGAGCGAGACAGTTTGTCCCCGTACCACTGGTTGAAAACCACTGCTGTAGATCACTGCCGGTACGTGCGCTGGGAGCGCACCGTTTAAGTTTGAAAGTTGAAAAGTTTGTGTGTCTGAAACGCTATGTGATACAGTACAGTTTACACAGCACAGCACATGTTCTGTAGCTACTATTGCACTGCGGCTTATAGTCCAGTGCGGCTTATATATGTACACATCATTCAATTTAGCTGCTGCGGCTTATATTCAGGTGCGCCTTATAGTCCGAAAATTACGGTAAGTTAAATGTAAAAAACCAATCCATTATATAAACACTAACTCAGATTTCCCTCTCGTCATTACATGTGTCTTCCTTCAGGAGTTGGCGCTGCAGAGAGGATGGCGTCTTCCTGATTACACCGTGTTAATGGAGGCTGGCCCGCCACACAAGAGAGAGTTCACTGTTACGTGTCGAATGGAGTCCCTGTCAGAGAAAGGTAGGGGTGTCTTTTCAACATTTCAACATTTTGTGTTGTTGTTGTTCATAATCTAACCTTGTCTCGTGTTTCGACAGCTGTAGGGAATTCAAAAAAGGTGGCGAAAAAGACGGCTGCAGAGAAAATGGTGTCAAAGCTTCAAGGTCTGTCGGGCTGTTCTGAAATCACATGGGTATGTCAGATATTTCTCCCCTTTGCAAAGTGACCTCTGGAGGCAACTTTTCTTAGCAAATCTTCTTGGTGATAATTGTCGTTAATTTGTGTTATATTTTATTTTCCAGACTCCTAAACCAAGCGTCCGATTTGAGAACTTAAGGAACTCGTCGGCGGAGAACATAACTTCACTGAGGAGAAACCCGCTGAGCATTCCCAACACAGATTATATTCAGCTGATGCTGGAGCTGTCCAAGGAGCAGGGCTTTGAGGTCACATACTTTGACATTGGTAAGAAAACACAAAGTAGTGTTGCTGGGGTTGCTAAGATACAGAGGGCCTTCCTCTAAGCTCCTCTTACTAAAGAAAACACTGGACGCCGTTTGACTGCGGCTCTAGTTATTGTTATAGATCTGCTGATAGTAAAACACCAGTAGACTGTTGAAATGAGCTTATGACTGAAACTAGAACAGATATGAGGAATTATAAACAGCTATACATCCTGTAAATAAGATCTATCAATTTATTTTTAAAAGGCAGCCGGTGAGTCTGGTCTTTTCAGGTACAGGAAGATATAGTAGGATTTATTTTAACCAATGCTGTGGAGAACATGTAGGGATCTCCCAAATACCCCAAATGTTCAACTAAAATAGAAAGAGTGTGTGAGCCTGCTTTACAAAACAATGCAGCGTGACATGCAGAATTTAGATTTTGATATAGATGAATTACAGATAATGCCTTGTCTGTTCACTTTAAGTATAAAGCAAAAAGACCCAGTTTTGACTTAAGCTTTTTCAATTTCTTTGCAGACATTTTGATACAAAGACATTCCTTTTTTGACGGGGCCTTTGCTTTTAATGTGACGCTGCTGGGAATGTTGGGATCAAATAAGCAATAACCTATCACAGCTCTGATACCCTGCTGTGAGAGTGGACACTGATGCTGTAACAAATGAGATAAACTGTTTTGGATAACAACGCACTGATAATCTTAACAACTATAGAAAGATAACATAAGGATTATAAATAGTGGGTGTTGCTGAACATACAGTGGGGCAACAAAGTATTTAGTCATCCACCAATTGTGCAAGTTCTCCCTCTTAAAAAGATGAGAGGCCTGTAATTTTCATCCTAGGTATACCTCAACTATGAGAGACAAAATGAGAAAAGAAAATCCAGAAAATCACATTGTCTGATTTTTAAAGAATTTATTTGCAAATTATGGTGGAAAATAAGTATTTGGTGGCTGACTAATACTTATTTCCCCCACTGTAAGTAATATCATAAAGCCCTCTCTGGGCTGGAGGAAGTGGAATGAGCTGAATGGAAAGCGTCCACACACTGTATTTAGTCTTTAGGTCGTTATGTTGTAAAGCCTGTTGGTGTATTCCTCAGATGAGCTGACGGTGAACGGGCAGTACCAGTGTCTAGCAGAGATCTCCACCTCCCCGGTCACCGTGTGCCACGGCACCGGCATCTCCTGTAGCAATGCTCACAACGACGCCGCACACAGCGCCCTGCAGTACATCAAGATCATGGCCACCAGCAAGTAACACCTCCACGTCTGCACCTGCTTCACCTGTCACACATCAGCTGATCATCCATCATCCTTCACACTAGTCTTCCTGCCGTGGATGAAGTCAAGCTATATTTTTATAATTATGTGTATCACAAAGCAGATCGGGAGACGAGTACCTGGACGTTCAGACTTGAATCCGGTAGAGCAGTGTTTGTGAGGAGACAAATGGGATCAACATTAAGAAACAAACACAAATCAAATGTTGTCTTCAGGTTGAAGAGTTTCATGTTTCACTTGAGATGTCTAACGTACTGTATTTAGGATAATGTACACGTGTTACTTAAGTAGGAAGCGTGAATAATATAAAGCACTTGTTTTTTAACTTTTTGTTGAGTTGTAAGTGGCAGTTCACCCCAAAATCAAAGATGCACTTTTTACCTCGGACTGTGCTATTTATAATAATAATACATTTTATTTCAATAGCGCTTTTCTTGAACCCAAAGACGCTTATCAACTTATTTATCAATCTAGAACGTCTTTGTGGTGTGAGTTAAAGATTGTTATAATAAATATATTTGGAAGACTCCACAGCACCGATTTCTCCAGACTCTGTTGTGAGTAGTTGTATTTTGTACTGACTGCTCCTGCTGACATCACAGTACGCTTCCTTCTGCAGATGGCGCTTCAGTTAAGATGAAAACTATGTGTTTTTGATTTTGGGGCAAACTATCCTGTTTTCAAGCTGTAATTATCAAGCTGTGTTGTTTTTGCCTCGTTGTTTGTGAGGATGCAGATATATTTACGTTGCATTTGTCTTAAATTATTTTTTTTATTACAGTTTTTCCCTGTAGCAATATATTGATCTGTATTGAGCCAATAGAAGATCTCAGACATTCATATTGCTTCAGAGATATTTGCCTTTTTGTTAAACTCAAACATGAAGACGAATTGAGATTATTTTAACTTGTGTTATATTAAAAAAAAAAAAGGGTGTTCATTTTGGTTTACAAATGTTTTTTATTTCCTACTTACACTCCGCTGTCAGTATGCAATCTACAGTGCAAGCCTCGCTGTCTGTATCTGGTTAACTCTTAAATGGATATAACACATTACTTCATATTACCATCCTGTTGCCATGTTTTGCAGTGTGCCTCAAAGTGTTTGTGATATATTAAATGCATTTACTGACTTGTATGGAAGTATCCCTGGTGCGGAGCAGCAACATCATGAAAACAGAAAATAAACCCAAACACTAAATGTTAACAAGAGTCAGCGGAGTGATTTTTAATGGTCACCTATTATGCAATATCCACTTTTTCACGTCTTATTTCATTCATATACTCTCTGTGTTAAGAGATTCGGAAAGTTTCAGGAAAAAAGATTCTCTCTTTTTTCCCTGATCCATTTATATAAAAACCTGTCTGAAAATGAGCTGATCAGATTTTGGCCACTTTGTGATGTCACAATATTCAACCATCACTTGAATCTCCTCCTAGAGCACCGTTGTGTATTTATTTAACCAAACACTTCACAGAGGGGCGTGGCCAGCAGCAGCAGCTCATTTGCATTTAAAGCGACAGACACATAATCAGCACTTTTGAAACAGGGCTGAAACAGAGGGGATTATGGGACGCTACAATGGGTGATCTGCTTGGTATTTGGAGCCAAACACTTCAGAGACATGTTTTTTATATATCTGAGATCTATAATATATTGTTGAAAAATAGTTAATAGGGGACCTTTAAGTCTGGTTTCTTTTAAAGACAATTCTGGACTTGCCCAGTTTTCTATAGAAACATTGACCAATTTAGAAAACACATTGGTACAATATTTGTAATGTATTTGACGCCAATCAAAAATAATCCCAACATTCAAAAGTGGCGTTACATTCATTGATAACAGATGCTTAGTTGGCCCTTTTACGACAAATTGTTGGAAAGTGTGTTTGACAATGATATGTAACCCTAATAATGTTGGCCGCCTCACAACAGCTTTATAAGCTAACATTAAAATGAATTGACTTCCATGCGATCTATGATAAACCACACTCGCCATCTTCTGAGTTTTACAGTTTTATTAGAACAAGCACTATGTAGCAGCAGTGTACAGTGTTCATGGAAAGATATGTACTTTGTTAAAATTGCACTTTTGAAGGTACCCATCAGGAAATAGATTTGAAAGGAACTGAGCTGACAGTGTTTTGTGATAAATGTCAGTCCAAAACTAAACACAAACAATGAGTCTAATTGGTCAAACTAAAAACATCTTTTAGTAAGGCATCTGCAACATTCATTGGCAGGCTAAGTTGTCTAGACATGCAGGTAGAATCGTGATGAAGAGGTTTTCATGATTTCCTTTTTTTTTTTTTTTTTACTACCGTCTGACTATGATGCCAAATACTATGCAAAGCTTTTCTCCTACATCCACACACAACTGCTGGGATTCAGTTTTGTTCTTAAAAAAAAAATCTGTAGGAGGATAGAGGAATCAGCTTCTGCAGTCGTGACCCATCTTCTAAATGTGCCGTATTTACAGTGATCACCAAAAATGATTTGGTTACATGTTGGAGAAGCAGAGCAGTGCACCCGATCTTTTAGCCTCTGCAAAGCGTTTTTACAGTCCCTCCTTTTTTTTCTTTCTTCCAAGTCAAAGTCATCTCCCTTTAAGACTTTAGACATCACCTCTATCCTAAGTTCATGTTTTCATTCGATGAGCCTGGGTAATGTGTGGAGTTTGTTAACGGAATACCTTCTTGCCATGGGGCTTCCTATCAGTAGTGTTTGTGAGGCATTAATAAATGCATTAAGGCACAGCAAGTGAAACCGACGACAACAAATTGTATCATTGAGTTTGTGATAGAATTTAAATTACATTAAAAAAAAAAAAAAGAGCAAAGCAGTACTTCTCTTTTGGTGTGTGATCTACAGTACCGTATGGACAGTGCCCGCACACAAGATGGATTTGCTTCACATAGTTTTCACTCTTCATATTTATATTCACTTCTTCCTGTTGTGGCGCCACCCTAAGCGAGGGGAATCCACTTAAATAGCTCCTACACAATGTGACGCTACTTGTGTGTGTTATAGTGTGTTCCTCTGTAACTCAAAAGGGGGGACACTCGTTAAAACATTAAAGCTGCTTTGCAATAAATACACACAATGCAAACTGGTGCTTTGCACAAACCATAGCAGTAGAGTCTCTGGGGAATCACACGCAGAGATTCTTCCACAGTGTTTTTGTTCCCGTACACAACTGGCTCGGCTTTCAAATCTTAAACATTTCAGTACATATTTATTTTGTTGACCCAATGAAACTGTATGTTCATGGGACGGCCTGCAGGTGGCTCTGGTGTTTCAACTGTATGTTTCGTCATGGGAGTGCTAACATAATTGTGTAACTTATCAAAAGAAAAATGAATTCTTATTTAATGGTTGATTCATAATGGAAGCAATTAAGTAAGAAAAACACCAAAACAGCTGCTGGTTACTTTTTTTCTTCTTTGTTTCGTATCATTTGAAGTTTTTGGTTGTTAGTCAGAACGAGGATGTAAATTAAAGGCATTGCTTTGGTAAACTGGGATGGGAATTTGTAGTCTTTTTTTTTCAGAAAATGAATAATTTGTTAGTTAACAACTTTTTGAACATTTAAAAATAACTGTACGACTTCTATAGCTGGATGTAGATGAGAGTCATGCCTCGTGCTGGAAATATGTATCTGTTTTCCTCATGTTTCACTGTCCAGTCTATTTATAAAGCTCAAAATCACGAGTGTCTCTGAAGGCCTACACCATCTTTCCTGAGACCTCTGAATGGGGAAAGTGTTTGACGTTTGTGAGTACGGTAATATAGGGTGCACCTACTACTGTATATATGGAGGGAGTTACAGTATGTCTGTATTTGTGTAACCACATGGTTAAGAGGTTGGTTTCAAGTAGCAATGTTTAAAGTTAGACAAGAGGGGTGGTCCCTCTATTTACACGGACTCCATGACAGATGTGTGTTGACCTTTTAAAAAAAGAAAACATCCTTAAAGGTAGTAGTATCCTGCGCCACATGTCCAAAACACCGGAATAGGATTTACATTTTAAAATCCACTTCTTTGAGAGCCGCTGTTACTCCATCAATGGACGCCATACTTCTCCTCCACTGCAGATTCTTTTTGAATGAGTTGTTTCCCGAGAGAGAGTACTGCTATCACACAGATTCAACAGTATTAAAAAAAGGCAAAAATAAATGAAATCTGCCAATTCACATGATGATATTTCACTAACTTCTGAGTCCAAGATATTTTATAAAAATACCTTTTTTCTACGATAATTGATACAGTAAATGCGGCTTTATGCCAGTGAAAGCTGCTCTCTAAACATGCACGTAGGTATCGTAGGTAATCAAAAGGTCTACTTCATAGATTAGTCTAACCCGAACTGCTGTCAGAAATTAAATGGCTTCGACGATAAAGCGCTTAATCGTGTGTCTTTTTAAGGCAAGGACATATTCAGAAGTCAAAGGAGCCGAGGAGAGATCTACATGGGAGTGGTACGATTGTTGCCGTGACAACTCAGCGTCCATAAGCACAATGAAGGTGATTCTTCCGGATGTTTCCAGGGATGGATGGCCGTGTGGCAGCAGGACCTCCGCAGGGTCTCTGCGCATCAGGACGTCCCTCAGCTCTGCGGCCGCTCGTCTCCCTGCACACGGACGTTTCAACATGTCCCTCTCAACATGTCCCTCTCAACATGTCTCTCTCAACATGTCCCTCTCAACATGTCTCACTCAACATGTCCCTCTCAACATGTCTCTCTCAACATGTCCCTCTCAACATGTCTCTCTCAACATGTCTCTCTCAACATGTCCCTCTCAACATGTCTCTCTCAACATGTCCCTCTCAACATGTCTCTCTCAACATGTCTCTCTCAACATGTCCCTCTCAACATGTCTCACTCAACATGTCCCTCTCAACATGTCTCTCTCAACATGTCTCTCTCAACATGTCCCTCTCAACACCTCATTGTGCATAGGTTACGGCTGTCGTGCCTGCGATGACGATATGACGGACGCATGTTTCTCCGTGTGCTACCATAGGTTCACCGTAGACTCCATGTTGATGAAGCCGGGGTTTTTGCGCAGCTCCCAGTACGTGTTGTTGGAGACCCACCGCTCCCTGTGGTTGGAATCAACCACTTTCCTGGAAGACGGAGAAGGGACACATGTTAATGTAAAACTACGACAGAATAGAAGGGGCATTAAAGGTTACAAAATATGTACGCAGCCGTGGGAAGAGGGGTAATACTTCAGAGGAAAACTAAGAATTTCTGTGATTTAAGTCTTAATTTGATCAGAAACATAAAAAAGCATATTCTATGAGATTTAAAAGGAAAATGATGACGAAACATGAAAATGTTAAGTATTCTCTTATTTATTACATTTAAAAAAGAAGGGAAATTCGTAGAGAATAGACGGAATAATATGATATTTTGAATTGAATTTTATACAAGTTTTTATGTTTTAATGATATATTAATATGATAGTTTATTACTTTGTTAAACATACTTTACTATGACTTCCGGATGATGATTTAGTTTGCATTTTATGAAATGACCTGTGACATAATATGCAAAAAAGAATGAGCCATTTCTATACACCGCTTGATAAATTGGATAGAAATAATGAATATGTGCATTTCTGTCTTTGTGCATACACAGAGCAATACACATCTAATCTCTGTGCTTACTTGAAGAAGCGTGGCTCCATTTTGATATTGTTCTCCTCGTTCCACTTCCTCCTGACTCTCTGCAGGTCCTCAATGCGCTGCTTATCTGAAGAGGCCATCTCCAGGTTCCCCTCCTCCAGATGCCTGCGTGACCAAACATCATATTTCAGTTTATCAGATGTAAGTGAGATGCTGAACAAGAACAGCAACAGCATGTGAATTTACAAAACCTAAATATTATCTTGGCTTCTGAAAGTTGAAAAAGCCAACTTTGAATGATAAGTAAAAGTGAGAGTATGGACACTTTATAAAGGTCATCTCTGTCTGCACTCATCAGACAACAAGCAACATAACAAGCAGAGTACAGAGTGGTACAGTATTTGCACTTTGTGGCAGCAGTGTATTGGGAGCAGGAGATGTGACGCTGCACCTTTGATCGGGCCTGAAGCGGGCGTCTGTACGAGGCAGAGCATCCTTCAGCTCGGGGCAAAGCTCGTTCAGCTCGATGGCGAACCTGGTGAAGCCGTAGTACAGCTCATAGTCTGTGGGCATGGAGCCTGACGAGCAGAGGAAACAATGTTAACAAAAAATTAAATCGTCTCAGTTGATAACTTTAGTTCCGCACAGCCCGTCCTCTGGAATGCATCAGGAACATTTTCTGATTAAAACAATGTATGGCCAGTAAACCAGCACATACCTGGCCTCCAGACGCATTTGGCAGAAGGTGGGACACCACAGTAAATACCCTCATGCCATTTCCCAAAAAGCCTGTGGATGACTTTCCCTTCTTGATCCATCACAAACCCTTGCACCTCATTCACATTAGAACTCCAGTAGTTTCCCTGTAACACAAACAGTGGGTTTCTTTATTAGAATGCAGTGGATTTGAATCCCATCCTCACTGCTGGAGGAGTTTTACCTTAACAAAGGTGAGTTTGCAGAGGCACGCGCTGCTCTTTGTGTTTCTGATGGTGATCTCCCCGTAGTGTTCGATCCACCGTCGGCCACTGAGGATGTTGTGCACACAGGTGGTGACTTTGTTCCATTCATATTGATCTCCAAACCTAAATGAAAATACACGAGATCAGCAGATTGGCTGGTGTGCTGCAGGAATGACATAAGCCCATGAAGGTAAGTAATGAATCTGTCATAATAGATATTTCATATTAAAGTGTTGACCAAAGATAGCCCAAGAAGTAAACATTAGATTTAGAGATGAGAAAGATTCACATATTTTGAGACCTGTGTGCACTCAGACAACCCAAAGGGATGCCCTTAGGGGGAAAGCACTCTAAATAAAGAATTCCCCTAAAATGATATAGTTGTTTTAGGGGCTAAAACATCTTTAACTACTCCCCATAAAACACATTGAGTAGCTTCTTTGCAAGTGCTGTCTGTTCCTTAAAGCTGGCGGCGTGCAGACCTCCATCTACTGTAGTTAACTGACTATGGATAATACAATGCCCCTTTTCAAAAAGTCTGAACTGTCCCTTTAAGGCAGGGGTGGGGAACCTCCGGCCTCCGGGCCGTATACGGCCCGTGAGACCATTTGGTACGGCCCTCGAGGTAATTTATAAACACACGCAAAAAAGAAAAAAATTCAAGAAATCTAGACCGCAAAATAATTAAACAAGCTTGTTTTTCCTGGCCAAGGTCAGGGTCCTTGAACACAACACGAGCCTAACGTGTCATCACGTGGTATATGTCTCGTCTGACAGGAGTGTAGTTCTAACGGAGAGCACCAGAACGCGGCTCCGGGCCGGGACTTCACAAATTGCAATACCCATAAGGAGCCGTACACATGCCGCAGTTTTTGCGTGGCTGTGTCTTTAGTTGTAAGCCCAGTGGCGATCTGTTCATCTGTCATACTGATCAGACAGTAAATAACGTCTGGTTAGCTAGCTATGCTAACGAATATAAGAAGCTTTTTCTCCAACCAGTGAGGTAAAGGCACATCTTTATATGATCATTATAGTTATAGAAAAATAAGAGAATAAAGTAAACAGGTATACAATACTATATGACAGTAAAAAAAAAACTTGTTATTAATAAACAAGAATACAGTTTGAAAGGGAAGTGATTTGTAAAATAAATATCTGGATTAAGAGGTTGCTGTTGCTTTTTCTTTGCACAGCATGAAAGAAACGCAAAATGAATGGGCTGTGATTTGAGTTTTTTAAGCAGACGTTGAGTTCAATAATTTGTACGGCCCTCGAAGGATGTTGTAAAAATTGAAATGGCCCTTGAGAGGAAAAAGGTTCCCCACCCCTGCTTTAAGGTCTGAGGACATCTGTGGCTTTAGGGTTAATCAGTATACAAAGTTACCTGGGAATCATGAGGTTCACGGTCCCGATCGGCAAAACCTCCATAGACTTTCCCCAGAACTTGTTTTTCCATCTCACATCTGGTAAGGGAGAAAGTGAAAAACATCACATCTTAAATATAACATACTCACTCAAATCCTTGCATTTCTTCTCAATATATATAATAAAGAATAATCATTCAATGTTAAGCTGGATATCAGAGAACCTAAATGAGACTGTCCCATGAGGAGACCCCTCACTAATCAGGTCTGTGCCTACCTTGCCAGAAGGTGAAATTCTTGGACTCACAGTGGCAGGCGGAGATGGGGGGGTGGTGGCTCACCTGCGAGACCAGATCAAACAAACAGTCTGACAGCTGCTGTTGTTGACATTATGCATCATGTACATTTCTACTAGTCTCCAAACACGTTTACACACTAGGAATGTATTAGAGAGCTGAAACAATTATAAATAATCAATATAATACATATTTTTGTTGATTCTCTAAAGATGTATGAATTCATCTTTTCTGATTTTGTAAGCAAAAATCAAGAGAATTTTCCAATTTCCAGTTTCAGAGATGTCAAGATTTTTCCTTTACTTTCTGCTTATTTTGTAAATGACTCAATAATTAAAATGTTCCGGACCTTTTTGGTTGATATCATACCTGTTCGGAGAAAAAGCAGAAGCCCTTGTCTTCCCGAATACATTCATAACTCTCCCCGAGCAGCGGGTTGAATGGCTTACTTCCTGCTCTGTAGTAGGTGGATGAGTAGCCGGAGACGGCAAAAGCAGCAACGAGAACCTGCCGAGAGTCAAAACCAAACAGCCATTATAAACAGGAAGGGATTACTTGCTTCATATTTAAAGGCTTTGTCAGGAATAATCCCGACATTAGCATGCATTGGGCGCTATCAAAAGGACAGAGGAGCGATACAAATAAGCGGATCCAAGGTCGACAGCTGCATCGAAGCGTAGCGAGAGTCGTGACTCTGACTGGGACTTTTTCTATTGGTTGTGGTGTCGATCTTTTACAGTAGATAAACAAATACAGGTATGACTAGACACAACACACTGTAGGAGTCCACAGAAAACTGCATTATGAATAGCAATGAGCAACCATGATGTTTTTCTCATTTAACTTCCTTCCTTACCATGCGTTCAAAGGGGTCCTCGGTCTCAGCAGCTTTGTCCAGCAGCTCGCTGTACTCCAGCTCCTCACACATGCGCTGCAGGGTGTTGAGCGGCTCGTTGAGCTCCACCGGCATGGACACTTTGGACAAGTCTTTGCCGATGTTGTTTCTCAAGATGTTCCAGAGGTTGATGTTGCTGGTGTCGGGGCACGGCGATGGCAGGCAGCTGCGCCGCCCGTTACGGAAGGCACTGCCAGCAAAGTCTCCATTGGCCACTGGGAAGAGGAAGAAGAGAAAGACGAGCTGTTTAGAGACATACTCATTGCACATCATTATCTATGACAGTCTCTGCTCCAGGGCTGCACAGAATATATTGTTGATGTTGTCATTGAAAATCTGTGATGTTGCACAGAGGGATTTTTTTTTTTTACTGTTGTGTGGCTTTGGTGAATCCAAACCATTGCTATCAAACCACACTCACACAAAAACACTAACAAACTGATGAACACTGCAGGGGTAGGCCAGCAGGTTGAATTACTGGTCATGTTATTGGAGTCTAGTGGCTTTAAAGAGAGCATCGATTACGGCTTCATTTACCCGTCGGAAACAGCTGTCTGACTTAGGGATAAAGCAGTGAAAATATTTATAAATCAGCATACAGTTGAACTGAAATGCTGATTTTATTAAAAAAAAAACTGATTATGGATGAGTTCCTCGTAAAACCCCACTTAAAGCATCCCAACCTTTAAATCACCCTGAAAGAATATTACCACACCCAGATATTTTCCCAGCCTCATCATTTTCATCATCATGAGGTAGTATATTTGACTGTGTGTTATGTGACAAAGATGGAGGAGAGCGATGCCATCCCTCTCACAGATAGCTTTCAAAGAGGAGCCCTTGGCACGGAGCAACCCTGCAAAGTCAACTGCCTCGGCCGCGCTGACAGATGATCTTGCCAGAAGTGTCCGTGTCCGTTAGTAATGGTCATACGTGCTAATAGGGAGCACATGGATGCTTTTTGAACGGCCAATCATGTCGCAGGATTGGACTTACTTTGTCTGGAGACGTTATCGGTCACACTGGCGTTGTCCTCGGAAATGTTATCGCTCACATCGCTGACATATGACTCATCGTCTGAGCCCTGCGAGCGGAACAGGTACAAAGCAGAGTGAGTCAGTCCAGCGGAGTACAACACCAACTCTGATCCCAACCACACACACACACACACACACACACACACACACACACACACACACACACACACACACACACACACACACACACACACACACAGCGGCTTGCCAGTGGCTAACAAAATGCAGCAGTCGTCGGCTATCTGTCCCGCTGCAGTAATCATAAGATGAGACACTGCAGCATTTTCATATTTTTTATAGCGGACGCAATGAGGCCAGTGACGCCGCCAAAGTGGAACATATTGAAGCAACTAGTTGTAGCAGCCTCTATATGCTGGTGGTGGTTTAACCAACAGTGAAACACAGGTCTAATGTGCTGCTGCTGGATGGAGAATGGGGGGAGGGGTGGGGGGGCCTTGATTAATTTCCTTGTTGAGTAATCCTTCAACAAGGCTCAATGCATGCTTGGGGAGCTACAATGCTTAATGGCTCTTCAGAGACCACTTGTATTGGGAGCTGGGTGTTAGAAGGGGAGAAGGCAGTGAGTTTCAAGTGATGGCGAAAAAAACAAGTCGCTACAAATCAAGAGGAATAGACCGAAGAGGCGTGTTAGGATTCTGAGACTCAACTGAGGGATGAAGGCTTGAGGCAAATTGAAAATAAGTCCTCCCATTTGTTTGAGTTTCTATTATATGCTATCTCTGCGTTTCATGCTGCTCTCATTATTTGCTGACTGACTCCAGCTCCATCAAAGTGGCGTTTTATCTCCCCAGCAGCAGGGCTAGTGTAACGCCTTCCTTCCTCCACAACCCCCCCCCCCCCCCTCATGGACCACAGGACCACACTGACGTATTTTCTTTATCACGCAGCTGTCCTCCGTTTTACCTCATTCTCCGACGAGCTGGCTGACAGAAGAACTTCCTGGGCATCAAAGAATTCGGAGACAGACTCCGACATGGAGAGTCGACTCTCATTAGAGGCCTGCTGAGTCAGAGGGATCCCAATCTGTTCTCCAGCCTGCAGGAAAAAACACACATTGCGAACACACATGATGCTCACTGCCCCTTGCTGCATAATGATGACACGTTGAAGAACCGAAACAGACCTGGATAAACACCATGCGAAGACAACACAGGGTTCATTTTGCAGCATGTGTATCCTTCCCAGAGGGCAAGCTCCCATCCGTTTCTAATTAGTCATTTTTTCCATTAACCTTGATGTCAGGCTCTGCATCAAATAATGATCCTTTAAGCTTACCTGCCAGGGTGAACCGGAAAAAAACATCTATCTTTAGAGACAGAGATCAATAATGCAACTGACAAATGCATGATGCAAACACTACAGCTACCCGGGTCAGCCCTCGTAGCCGTGTTGCTTCAACAGTGTAAGAGTCAGACATGAGCTCCGTCAGTGACACACTGACCACAGCGACCTACCTCGTCAGGCGTGGAGACGATGTTCACACTGACAACTTGTTCAGTCAGGACAGACTCAGAGTGGATGCGGTTGAGTCGGGTTCGAAGTTCTGCGTTTTGGGACAGGGCCTGAACAATAAAAAGTGTGGTTTACTTTCCAAATGCTTTGTGGTTTATCTGTTTTTGTTGGGCAGGGGTTTGAGGGAAGTTTTAATCGTTGATGCACTGGGTGTAGATCATTTGAAAGGTTTATAATCAGGGTCTGAAATTATGTTTTCTTTTTGTATCTGCCATTTCTGATATTTATGTGGAACGCATAGAACACTGAATTCGTGTTATCGTACATTAGAAATGTGGAATATTGAGCCTGTATTTGGCAGGGTGCAAGTACTCATTTCATTCCCTGCTTATAAGAAAAAATAATCCCACATGTTTGTTGCTGCAATTCCTCCTCTCCATTCAGGCTGTGGTGAGACCCCTTTACTGTAAAAACATGGCGTCAGAACAAGCCCCAGTCCTTACAGGTCACCTGCAGACGATATGGTGTCAGAAGGGTTAGCCAAGTGAGTATCTCCCAAAGCTACAGTCATTTCAGTATGAAAGGATCTCTTTGTGAGTCCATGGACAGCGTGTTCTTGGTTGGATGAAGATACCACTCCTACGACTAACTCAAGACCGCTTTTATTGTCTGCCATATTTTGGAGAGTCTCTTCACGGTTGATTTGGGCAGGAGGAATGATCACAACAACAGATACGTTTCGCGACATGCATATGGGCATGTCATTTTGTTTTAAGATGGACTTGACTTCTTTTAACTGTCAAATGGAGAACAGATGCCTATTTACACATCTGTCAGATTGGGAGCAACATTATCATTTATTTGAAGTTGTGTTTCTGTCCACCTGATGAATGAAACTCTGATATTCAGTCTATAGTAAGCTCTGTTTTTAGTTTTCACCAATTCCTGAAGGTAACTGTTTAGCTGCTCAATGCGTCACTCTGTCCATCAGCCAGCTGCTCCCAATGCTCGTTGTTTTGGTCAGGTAGAGCACAGTGGGTTCATCGGAGTTTTGTTTTCTGAATATATCTGACCACTGCTGACCAAAACCAAGCTAAATGGCACTAAAACAGGAATAAATCTGCACTTTGAATGTAACTTTTAGTCTTACATTTTTACTGCGAAAACATCTGGCTCATTAGTGGCTAAACGCTTCACTCCACGTTTCACCAGCCAGCCGATAACCTTTTCTGCTCTCTTGGTGCTGAGCAGGTAGTGTACTGTGGATTTATGAGAGGTGTTTTTCACTGAAAACAGCTGCTCACTGCATCCACAAAGCTTAGCACTAATAAGAGCAGAGAGAGCAAACCAAAACCAAAACAGTTGCACAACTTAAAACCCCCCAAAAATGAGCATGCTATAAAGCTCAGTAGAGCTGAGGTCAAACGTAGAATCAGGCGGTGGGTTCATCTTCAAATACCAGACCTTTCATGAACAAGTAGTGATGTGATTTGACATGCACACTTTACCTAAATATGTGTAAAGCATCAGCAGCTGAAACAACCATGAATCCTGATTATCAGCTTCCTACAGAGCTTTGCCTTAAAGACCTGACCCTCAGCCTAAAACAACATTGTGACACGAGCATCCAATTAGGAACAAAGCGGGACGCAGCAGCAGAAACATTTGTCTAAAAATGATGTTGACTGTTAGCAGAGGAAGTCCAATTAAATGACTGGGGTAGAGAGACAGCCCTAAGGAGCCGAGTTAATGAAGCGCACAACACATTTTTCTCTCACCAATTAATACGGGAGAGATGATTGAACTTTCACTTGCCTGCTCTCTCCTCTCCACACCTCATCTTTCTCAAATGTGATTACAGTGACTGCTTGGAATGATCAGTAGTTTGAGTGTTTCATCTGACAGCCTGTCATCGTGAGCGTGTCTAACAACATGACAACTACAAAGGGTTTGAGTAAACACACCCAAGACACATCGCTCAAATCATTGCAGTCATTTCCCCGGGATGTCTTGATCACTCTGGGGAATTACAAGTTAAAACAGCATCATACTTAGCATTAGGAAGGGGACGTATTTCTTACAAACAGCTCTGTTGAACTACCCTTAATTAATAGTGGAGGGACAGAGGCATTATGGGTAATGGTAGTGGGCGGCTCATTACCTGTGACAGAGACTTCCTGAGAGAGTTGATCTGGGCCGACTGGTCCGTCTGCTCCTGGTCAGACAGAATCTGTTTGATCTTTTCTTTCTCGATGGCCACCGTGTTGAAGGCCGACTTCAGCAGCGAGTGGACTGCAGAGAGAGGGATGGAAGGAAGATTTGTTCACAATCCCCGCATGAATGACATTGTACATGCATTTCTTTTCGCAGAGAGTTCTGAAACAATTCAAATGTTTGATTACAAAGATCCTGTGCCACGTAGCTTCTGTAAGAGTTTTCTAGGTTATTTAAATTCATCTGTAAAGTGTCTTAACATAAGTGATTATCTTGCTTTATAAATAAAACATACTTTTATAATAAGCATAGCTATATTGAATTTACTCAATAACGCATTGTGTTAAAATAATTAACTTAACAGTAAAACGACCTGGGACTTCATTTAAAACTTGTTTGATTGTCACAGAAGCAATTATTTTTATAAGAGAAGCAAAGCCAAAACTACTGTACTGTATGAACATTTGACTCAGGTTGTTAGAAAAGAGAAAAATGCTTTAAGATTTACATATGAAAAGAAACCACCGGGACCTTTCTCACTGATAACGCTGCCTGTCTACCTTTCTGGGCGATGGTGCAGAATTCCTCCTGAAGTTTGATGTAGTCACTGGCAGACTCTACGCTGTCCGTCAGCCGGGAGGCAGGGGCTTGAAAGTCCACCAGCTCGGCACACAAGTTGGGGTTGGAGGAGTGGAGGCGGACGGGGGACATACTGGCAGACAGAGGGACCTGGAAACAGGCCCAGAGGACGGCTGTCAATCAGCTGAGAGGCACAGTAATGTGTTGTGTGTCTAGGACCCTGGTCCTATAAGGCACAGTCAAATGTTACTCATTATTCTGTCCAAGTATCTGCATTTCAAGAGAGAGGAGTGTCAGGCTTTTCTCATAACGGTCCTAAACATGCAGGAAAATACCAAAATATATGTCCTGCTTCCTCATAATTCTGTAACTACTGCACTACTGTATAAAGAATCCGGGTCATGACGGTCATTAGATATCAAAAACGAATAAATCAAAAAGAAGATGGACATGCTGTTCGAAACTAAAGATGGGACAGAAGCTGCATTCCTTTGTTTTTTTAATCCAGATGTCTTTGAGCTGCTAAATCTAGAACTGTCTAGAAATCTATAGATTATTGAGAAGCTTTTGAATTTTGTGAGGGCAAATCTGTTCATTAAAGGACAATCTCTTTTATAATTGGTTGATTAAATAAAAAAGCAACAGTGTATAAAAGAACATTTAATCTTTTTGTGAAGCATAGATTCATATATTAGGCAGAATAAAGCACAATTAGCAGAGATGGAAAAATCTTTACTCAGGCCACGGCGCACCACAATAATGAGAGCCTGTTGCTGTGGGGACTGATTAAAGAACAAAAAAAGATTAAGAAAAATAGGCTGAAAATGCTGGATTGTGTAGGTGTGATGCAACAGCCTCCCCTCTCGAAAATGGTAAAAAGAGCAGGAAAAAGAGTGGGAGTACATTTTACATTTGACTCTTTCCCAATAACACTTTAACTGGACATACAGGCTCATACAGGAGTTAAATCCCTGACAGTTACATAACCCTTACCTAACCCTAACCCCGAAAGTGACTGCACTGTGCTTGTGTGTAAAATGTATGTTTATTCAAATCAAAATCAAGTAAAATACAATACATGTTTTTATATATATTACATTTAATATATGCATATATTGTGTTATTAATAAATGAAAAAAACATGTTGATATATGGAACCATAATCAGAGGAAACGGAATAATAGCATCAGTTAGAGTGTGTGTGTGTGAGTGAGTGAGTGAGTGAGTGAGTGAGTGAGTGAGTGAGTGAGTGAGTGTGTGTGTGTGTGTGTGTGTGTGTGTGTGTGTGTGTATGTGTGTGTGTCTTATGAGGCAGAACTGTAAATCTGAGAGGTACCTGAAGCTGGAATTTTGCGTCTTTGCCGACACTTTTTGTTCTCCATCTTCTGTTCAAGCGCTTTTCTTTCTTTGACAATTCTACACAATTGCTCTTTGTGGCACACGTGGATCAAAATATGCAAAATGTGGTTAATAGGACAAACAAGTCACAAATAAAACACAAGCCCACACACAAATTGATTGCAGTGAAATGGCAAAATCAAGACTGCATTCCCACAGATGAGTTGCAAAACAAAACACTGAGGTAGATGTGTGTTGTTAAAAATAAAAAGTGTCAGCCAAAAAGTATAGTTAATAAAAATGTAAAAGATGCTGATCAGTTAGAGATGCACTAGTATACTAAAAGTGTTCCCCTGATTTTGCATGTGTGCATGCATGTCTCTTTATGTATTAGTTTTTTTACCTGCATTTCTGTGAAGTTGGGTGCTGACTGTGTCCTTTGAAGAATCTCCAAACTCTGCAGGAGCCGGCTCAGTTCGGTCAGGTTGGACTGGCATCGCGAGAGCTCTGAAAATAAAATTCACACCCACACACACACACATGTACAAACACAGTGTTATGTGTCATGAAATGGTCATGAATCCTCTTCTTATGGTTCAGAGAAGAGTCTACCATAAGGCCTGAGGAATGTTTTATCTTTTGTGGCAGGTCTTCTTTATTGTTATTTAAAGTCAATACAAAAATTCAATAAATTCCAATTACAGAATAGACAATGTTTCTTCTCCAACATAACCCCAACCCTAATTTAGCATTTCTATATCATTCATTAATCAAACAGAATCAATTCTACATCTTAAAATAAATACATTTAAATAATGTATAACGGATGAAGTGTCCAAATGGAATCCAAAAGGCATGTTTTTAATGTACAGTTGATCCCAGCACGAGGAAGAAGATGACACCCACCCTCTGAGCACTTGTACATCTCCTCTGACTCCTGCAGCCAAGCAACCACCTTGCTCTGGCCGTTGCTGTAGGAGGCCGGCAGGCTGCTGTTGCTGCTCGGGGCAACCGGCTGCCACGGCAAGCTGCTCGGCTTGGCCTGCTGGGAGGCGACATGGGGACAGACACTCAGATCACTGTACACCTACGAACTGGTTCAACTGGTTTGAATCATACGTTAGTTACTTATAGGGTTTGACAATGTGGAAAAAGGAATGTTCTGGATTCTTGAGTTAGAGAATCTCTGAATAAGATGCCAGAAAATAGGGAGAATTATCCGTCAAAATGATGGATTTAAATTCCTTGTGTGGTCGGATTTAGAACAAATCATCGCATGAGAGAATCTAGCAGCAGCATATTAAGCACACTTCTAGTAATTACATTTTCTTTCAAGTGACTCAATTTCAGGGTAGATCACTGCTATTAAAATGGATCTCTTTTACCATCCTATATGAAGGATCTGTGCTGTTGACCTACTCACTTCACCTACCTGCAGCAGCCACAGTAGATAACTGTGCAAATGTGCCTAGCTAGAAAATGAGAAACCCTTTGACATACAGCAGGGCTAAGAAGAAAATAATGACAGATATAATGGGCTGTATTATCATCTATTAAGAGCATGTTGAAAGCTTCGTTTATAAGGATTTATTTGTATTTGCAAGAGATGTTGATAGTCCTCCCTCCAAGAACTAATTCTGACTCTTGGATTGGAGTCTCTTATTTAGCTTTTCTTCAGGGAGACCTCATCAGGCTGCAGCCAGCTGCTCTGAATCCAGATCCTACTGATCACCTCTAATGGCCGCACCGAGATACACTCCCAGGAGATCCTGCTCTGGCGGCATCCTCACATTTACCTCACGTTCAGACATGCCAGCAAAGACTAGGGGTTTACACTAAGTGGAGTCTGGATAAAACAACCAGGTTCATTATCCTAATGAAGAGTGTAAAATTACCTTTCCAATCAAGGTTACTGCATTAGGCAGATATCAGTCTACACAGCCCCAGCCCTTAGTCCCACAGGGTCCTTGTTGTGACAACAATGTGGAACATGTGTTGAGATCATTTATGTAAAACAGTGACATATAAAACCTAAATGTAGACATGTTAGATTGGGGTCATTGAAAGGACAACATTGACTGTTATGTCTTCCTGTCACTACTGTGAATGTTCAGTGAGTTGAACTTCCTCTCTTCTGGTATTTTGGTTCACTATCGCAGTTTATAATAAAACAGAACTAGGCAGTCTCTCCTTCCCCATGACATACCCCGTTTGAATAATTGCACTTTGCTCAGAGAAACTGCTTTTAAGCTTGATACTCAGGAGGAGTATGAACTGAAATTACAACTTTCCTGATCGTATGCAGTTTTCATCCATGTCGGCTCCAAATACACTTGCTTCATAATTTGAACCTATTTGTATGAAATTGTCATAATTATCACAGCTATCCTGGATAAAGGCCAACAACTTGAGTCCAAATCTATGTTTGTGCCACATTTTTACAAGAAGTCACATTTTCGGCCCAGATGATTAATTGATTAGTTGAGGAAATAATCCTACAGTTCATTGTTGGGAGGTCTCACCTTGGCTTCGCTTACCACACTGGAGGCCGGTTGGGGGGACTCCATGGCAGCGGGTGGGGGAGGGAACGTCCGCATGGTGGCCTCTCGGGGAGATCGCACAATCTCGTTCTGTCGGTAAAGCCGGTGATGACGCAACTTGGAAACCCAAGCATCAAAGATGTCTTGAGATTTGACCTGGAGAGGAAGACAGCTTGAATCTCTGCTCGGATGACCTCCTGTTTATCTTTATTGACAGGACAGTATTGACTCAGTGTTACCTTCAGGTGGTAGATGTGCTCCTCCGTGTCCAGGTCGATGCGTCGGGCTCTCTTCTTGATGGACATGACTGAGAGGCCGACGTCAATGCTGCCATGAAGCTTGCCTTTTTGGATCTAAAACGGGCAAAGACACACATTTTTTTTTTGTGTTTACTCAGTTAGTCAAATAATTAGTACATTTTGTACAAAAGGGATATCCAGCTATTACCAAATACCAACACTATAAGTCTGAAGGAAACTCAAAGATCCTCCCTGCTGTAGATCACTTGTATTCACTTCATCAATGTTTGACTCTTCAGATAAATTCAATAAAAAATTCAAAAGGCTTATAAAAAAGAAACCTTAAATGATTCAATTGATTATTTGATCAACAGAAACTTTGATGACAACATTTTTGATAATCAATGAATTGTCGACATTAAGGGCTTAATGTAACAGCAGTGTCTCGTCTCATTCGAAAAATATAGATATATATATAAATATATACTATAATTTAACTAAAACAAAAAAACAATGTAAATTGAAACGTAGGATAACTTGAAATACCTTTAAATGTAAGTACAAATATGATTATACATGTTATGACAATTAAGTAGAAATGCCAATCATTCACAGATTCTGCCCAACGAGCTGTAAAGACGTAATGCTTAGCACTCTCTTATACATATATCATATTTAAATCATATGTTATGGTTGAGTTATATTGTTGGTTGAACAAAATATTCAAGAGTGTCTTTCATTTGGACATGGATTTAGGATTTTCTCTTTGCTGTTTTCCCCTTTATTGGATAGTTTCAAGACGTAGACAGGAAACAAGGGTTTCTAAACACTAAAACATTGTAAATAAAGTCAAACAGCAGTTTGTGTGATGCTTTGGTTTCTTCCGTTGTGTGTTGTATTTTCATTCTGTCAGTAAAATTGTACATTACATGCAAAGTTTTCTGAAAACACTGAACATCGTGACCGTGTTGCAGATGTTTCTGCTGACTCATTGCCGAGCTGATGTCAGACCAGGCTGCCCTGCCCGGGGGTAATAGTCAGGGTTACTTACATCAATAGGGGTCTTGGAGTACTTCAGGATACCATTGTCCAGAACAAAAAAACGCTGCAGAGAATATAAGCACAAAAACAATGTGTTAAATAACAGGAAGGGCAAACGTAGAAAATGGATCACATTGTACTTGTTGTTGTGGTTTCAATATAAATATATATTTTCTCCCGATTAGCTGTAGGCTCTGTGTGTTCTGTGGTGTTGTTAGTACAAACATGCTGACGACAGGGACTGGTTTCCACTGTTATTCAAGTGTTTTGCGAAAACAACAGTAACGCTAATTCTGAAACTTCAAAAGGAAACAGGGCTTGGAAGAGGCCCAGAGCACGAAGCGAGGGTCAGGAAAGGGGAACCTATTTCTTACTAGACAGCAAACTGCTTAACATTCAAGGAGCGCCTGTGTGTGAAAGTGTTTTTCCATCAACAAAAGCTTTTGTGTCTGGCTGTGCCTGAGGAGCTTACCTTGTGCCAGCCTTTCAGGGGCCATTTCCGCTTCTTTAACATGAACCCCTCGTGTTTATCGGGCCTCTGGACGTTGCTCTGGCCGATTTTCAGCCCCTCAATGATTTCCCAGCTGTCTGCCTCCTAGAAAAAAAGAAAAAAGAACAATACCATTTTATAAATAACGCACTCACTCCTCTGGAATAAGAAAAGAGGTGATACACTTGCTGGTACCAAAGGAAAAATACCCCTGTCAGGCCCACAGAGTGAAAAAGGCAAATCACAGGAATACACTTAAAACGTATTCTTCTTCCACTAAACTACAAATTCTAAAGAATACTGCCCGTTTCAGATTCCCCCTGCTCTCTCAGCATTTCCACCCCATTAGCTTTGCCCTGACTGGGCTCTTCCTGGTGGGTCTGTAAATCAAAGTGATGTTTGTGGAGCAGAGAGACAGCAAAGTCAGGCAGGGACAGGTGAAACACACGTTGTCCCGGTGGTGGGGGTCATGATCCACTCAGCGTCTTCAGAAGTTACAGTTTGATGTTTTATTAATTTTCAGGCTTACTGTTACTGTACCCTTTTCTTCCATTTCCTTTTTTAACAGGGCTGTCCCATCATTATCAATTATTCAACGTATTGCTGGTCAAGCTTATTGGTTATTTTAAGTTATCCATTCACTATCAATTTCGTTTTTTCAATCTTCGATAACAAATAATATTGTATGATATTCATTTGCTATAAATACGTGTTTGTATGGTCAATCAGCTAGAAATCGCTTTTTTTCCATTGGTATTCATTTGCTAATGATCTTCTCTTGAATGGACTTGGTAGAATATCATGTTTTGTATTGTGTTCAGTTTTGACAAAAAACGTATGGAACACATATTACAGGACAGTCCAAAGAGGGAAACTAAATCAATTATAGAGTGGTAAACTCTTAAAAAATAACAATTTTGATTTCCTTCCCCCTCAAACTTTCCTTTTGATTTTTGCTTATTTGATTGATATTAAATCTAACAGATTTTTTTCAGTGGCTTTACGCAAAGCATGATTGCAAGGCATGTAACTCGATATAGCTGTGTTCAACGTGACATTTCAGAAAGCAACCGTGGTATTGATGTAGAATCAAGAGTATAAAATAAACTAATGGTCAGAAAGTGCTGTTGTGAACAGCGTCAACATTGATATGACATGACATGTAGTCCTCCGTTTTCTGGCAGTTATCCATCAGATTAAGTAGGATATTAATGAACTGGAATGCATCATAATGTAATATTGGTGAAGTAGGTCAGATATTTAATTTTAGACTTGAATCAGCCTCTGAGGCAAAACCCACAAGTTAACACGAAAGAAGCATCTCCAGAAAACCAGATGAAACCCTGTGGCTCTTCACTGCTCGGTGCGATGCTGCGATCTTCAAGACAGCTCGTTGGGTGACACCCAACCTTGTCTCGCAGGACATTTAACAAAAGGAGACAACAGCTTGTTTAAACTAATGGCCGGGCGAACATATCTGCTTGGTAATGAGGTCATGTTTCTCCGGCAAGGACGGCCCCTCCCTCTCTGAGTGTCCCTGTGCTACTGAGGAGGAGAAGGAGCTCAACTGCATTTGCAAAATGTACATCACCATTCAAAGCAATCATATCATAAACGGTAGCGCCGTACTCATTATGACCAAAGCAAAAAGGTCATTACCCGTTGAACGACTCAACTGTACTGTATAATGTAAGCGATTACCGCTTCCACGCTGCTGTGTTGAGACCATAACAGCCCAACACGTGAGGAGCACCCCCACTAAGAGGCAATAACAAGCAGCAATCTAACAGAAACCCTTAAGACAGATTTCCTGTGTGTTACCGGTGGCATTACAAACAGACTTTCAAATGACTCTAAATTGATAAATCAATACTGCACTAAATAAAGAATGGCCGCCACCATTGCCATTCAACGCACTTTCCCGGGCATTGCTTTAAGAGCCGAACCATTACCGACATCAATCAACACAATCTTCAGGAAGAGCAGTCAAGCTCCCGTTAAATGACAAAGTATATGCCAACTATTGGTTTATATGGAAATTGCCGCTACAGTCGGAGGGTTTGCTTTTGTTATTTGACCCTGAAAAAGAAACTCAATTGAGCTAAAGTGATTTCCTGCACTCCACTCCGTTCATTGATCTCGCTGCAGAATGATTTAAATCTGAATGGTGAGTTTTCCCCTTTAATGAAGGATGTTGTGTCAGACTCCGTAAGAGGCTGTCTGCCTTTCTACGTCAACATTTCAAAAGGTTAGCCCCATGAGCTTGTTGTTTGATATTTTGATAACTTTGACAGATTATTTTGCCTTTCTCTCTTCTTTTCCAAGTCTTTAAAAAGACTCATATCAGAGTTACAGTAGTTGCCAGAACTAGGGCTGAACAACATATCCATATTATACAGATATCATGATATGAGGCTAAATACTGTAGAACATTTTGGTTATTGTGATATCGCTGCATGAGAACATTTAGATTAACTTTTTGGAACTTTCCAGACTTTTCTATTATCTTACAAAGAAAATATTTTGTGAAAGCCCCAATTATCAACCCTACAATATCAATATTATGTTTTTCACTAAAATATTGTAGAATTTGATTCTCTCACCCAGGCGGGCGAGAATAGCAAAAATAATATGTTAGATCCCAATCATCAACTGAATCATTCTGTGTGGGTCTCGTGGTGTCTGCCATCTGCAGTGACTCTGTAGCACAGTGGACTCTTTAATGCTGCAATGAATCACAGTATTACAGTTAAGGTCTCCCTTTGCAGGAGAAAGGGCAAACACTCCTTGGGGACACCTTAGGCTAAATCAGGACTATAAATATCAGTACAGCCCACTTCTGATGAAGTCTAGGTCCTTTTATACAACTGACTCTCTGAAAGATATGGATCTACATGCAGAGAAACCATTTATTCTGATTCTGACTGCTGATATACTGTGTGAAGAGCTGCACCTCATGAACTCAACATAATCACCAAGTTATTTCAGTCTAATTCTCTTTTACTTCTTTATGTTAGTGTCCTCAGAAGGCAATACAAGATAATGATCTAATAACAGAGTGATAAAATAATGAAACAGATTAATGTTTAGTCATTCATTTTGTTAACTCGAGATGCCAAGTTTAAAAAAAATTATCTCGGGATAATTAGGTGTTGATAGCGCCATATTCTTTTCTTGACTTAGCAAAATAAATGTCTCGCTTTTTTTCTCAAAATAACAAGTTTTTCTATGATCTTATGAAAAGAACCTATTGTTTTTTAAAGATATGTACAGTGTTGCCAGTAGAGCTGCAACAATTTGGCAGAAAATGAATATAGGCAACGATTTTGATAATCTACTAATGTTCTGGTGACTACGTTTTAACAAAAAGGTTTATTAAATGTGAGGATTGGTTGGGATATGTTTACTTTAGGTCTCTTACTGTGGTCAAACAACAAGAGACATTGGAATCTGGAGAAGTGTTAAGACTGTTTCTCCCAGTTTTCTGACATGTCATGGAGCAAAAGATGTATTAAGTAATCAAGAAAGTAATCAGTCGATGTATTGATGGCTTAAAACAACCGTTAGTTGTAGCCCTGATTGCAAAAAAGCAACTTTGTTAGCTAAACAATTAAGTTGTGATTTCAACATCACAGAAGTATAAAACTATTGTAACTTCATCTGTTCTTAGCTTCCTCCCCAGGCGAGACTCAGACGAGACTCAGACGAGACTCACTCATCTACAGTTTTTATTTATATAAGGCTGAAACAGTATCTTCAGTTTCAGCAACAACTAACCACGACACAAACATTAAGTACACACTCTATGAAGAACCCTTGATGACCTTTCAATGGCTCTCTAAAAAGCAACCACGAGCAGCCATTATTATTAACTATATTTTAGTTAAATAAAGCTGAGTACCTCAATCTGAGAGTTTGCTTTAGCATATCAGGAGGACTGTTTGACTCTAGTTCAATTATAAACAAATGCAGATCTTGGAAAAACTGCCCTCCATTATTACTTTACAATTTAAAAATATAAATAATTACAAATGATTTAAAACTTGAATGTCTCGTCCGACAGCTACATTTTAAACCATTCACTTCAAATCTATTTAGTGACGTCTGTGATTGTCTGTTTCTGCATGCACTTTGTTTATGTCTGGCTATTTCCTTGCAGGTATTTGCATTTCTGTCTGGTGCTGCTTTCTTTTATTTCCCTCTGCTGTATCAGGTCTCTCTTGGAAGAGGCTCTCCTAAATGAGATTACCTGATCAAATAAAAACGTATATAGGCTATGAGGGTGATAGTGGATGGGTGGGGTGAGGGATGGCAGCTAAAGGTAGTGGAGAGTATAATCTATGAATGTTTAAAGGGATGTAGGTCCTAATATTCTCTTGTTGCTTAGGTTGACCCTCACTCATCTTAAAGGTCCCCTATTATACTGTGTTTCATCAATATATTATAGGTCTTAGACATATACAAACATGTAGGGATGGGTATCACCTGAAATTTATCGATTCCGATTCTGCTTATCGATTCCGGTTCTTATCGATTTCCCGTTTCGATTCCAAAATTATAAAAGAAAGAGGTCAAACGTTTAGATAACAAAAATATCTTTATTCTTTTAAGCTTTAACTGACATTTTTACAAATAAAAAAAAATACATGCAATACAAATGTATTACACAATAGCTGTGCTTTATTTTAACTGAGCTATGCTCAACAGAAAAAGACAAGGCACAGTGTAATGCCTGTGGCAAGTTAATAGCTTGCCACAGGCATTACACTGTGCCTTTTCTTTTTATTTTTTAGTGTAGTGGAGCCTCACTTTAGAGCGTTTACCGCGAACCATCTTTGGTGTTATGAAGTGACTGAGCTCGTGAACCGTCTACGGGAGGGCGGGGGGAGCCTCGCTGCGGGGAAACTGTGGACCTCTGCCGCCTGTCAGCGCAACTTACATGATGCCGTTTAAAAAATGTATGGGCGGCCGTTCTGTGATTCTCCAGAACACACAGATGGCCAGTCCGCCCCTGTATTCCACCGGGTCACCGCGGCGCAGACGGACCCGGTGGAATACAGGGTCTACCGCGTTTAGGAACCGTTAAGCAGAACAAAAATTGTGTATTTTGTATGGGTACCCGGTACCCGGCATTTTCTTATCGGTTCTCATCTGGAACCGAGTTGCGGTTCCCAACCCTACAAACATGCCTCTGAAGTGTTTGGCTCCAAATACCAAACGGATCATTGCAGCATCCCATAAACCCCTCTGTTTCAGCCCTTTGGAGCCAAACACTTCAGAGGCATGTTTGTAGGGTTGGGAACCGCAACTNTATACTACTACGTACGTAGTACGTATATACGTACTACTAGTACGTACGTACGTACGTACGTACGTACGTACTACTACTACGTACGTACGTACGTACGTACGTACGTACGTACGTACGTACGTACGTACGTACGTACGTACGTACGTACGTACGTACGTACGTACGTACGTACGTACGTACGTACGTACGTACGTACGTACGACGTACGTACGACGACGACGTACGTACGACGACGACGACGACGACGACGACACACGACACACACACACACACACACACACACACACACACACACACACACACACACACACACACACACACACACACACACACACACACACACACACACACACACACACACACACACACACACACACACACACACACACACACACACACACACACACACAGGGATCAACAAGAGAGATAACACAATAAGCATTCAACACATACTGAGAAATAAGAAATAATACAGAGTCTTTTGTAATTCCCTCAGCAATTCTCTCTGTACTCTGTCGCCAACTTATGGCTCAATAATAAAAGCAGCTGAAAATCCTACTTGAAACATTGTAAATGATCATCATTTATTATGGAGAAAGAACAATGTTTCCAATTGTGAAATGCCACTGTCAAATCTGACTCATTGGATACAAAAGCTTCTTTACCTGTTTTTTGATTGTCACCCTAAACTTTAGCACTATCGTAGCTACAACTAACAAATGTATATAAAACAAACAATTTAAGACATTTGATCTGATGACCCTGATTAGATTATACAAAAATGGGTTATCAAGAAAAGTTAAGATTTCATTTAGCTCATGATAATGTCGACACTCCAACTCTTTCCCCATCTTGGTTACAGATGCCGTTTACTATGATAACCTTTGTGCAGGCAGAGAACACTGAGCAATTCAATATCAGTTTAATAGCTGCAGATCAGAGTCAGCAGTGTTTACAGTCTCTTCATTAAGCAGACTCTTACATAAGCTTTATACAACTTGCCACTTGACTCTTGCTGATCTGGTCTTGAGTGCTGCAGACGGCTGCAGGTGGTAAAACACTATAAACGGTGTGTAGGAGGGAGTGTGTTTGTGTGGAAGGGACAGAGAGTTAAAGTGGGAACATTACTTGGCCTGAAAAGCGTTGTTGGTGCCCCTGTGGTCCAAGTCATGGCACACACAACCTACAATAAGCGCTAAGGTCTCCACCTCGGTCAGAGTCTCCTGGAAGCCCGCCGTCTGAATGTTACCGAGGAGAGGAGAAAACAGAACACACAAATAAGAGCTGCAGTCGGCTGGTTTCAGCAACAAGGAATCACATTGAAACCCGATTAGATCATGGTTAAACTCGAAATCATGTTGTAACAAAAATTGAGAAAGTTAACATTCAAACCCAATATAAAATGTCGCTTTATGTTTTACTATAAACCTACAGTACATTAAGTGTAACTTTGTTGCACCAACATTTATGAACTACAAATTAGTATCAACTTTAAACTTACATTTCAGGAGGTTTACCTTATAAAATGTCTGCTGTTTTAAGATGTTTTGAGCAAAAATAACGGCAGAGCACAATCACCTAAAAACAATTACTTCAGAAAAGCAATAAAATATTAACTTAGCCTCCCTGTTTATCCTTTTTTTCCTAATTTTTCAAGAGCACACAACAATTCCTTCCTCTATGGCTGAGACACCAACCCATCTTCTTATTATTTACTTATTTTGTTCTAATTATTTGGATGAGCAATCATCTCCTTATTGATTACTGTGGTTCATTTTGACTCTGGATTTACTTATTTCAAATGTAGATTTGCTATACTCTAACTAGAAATGTTCCAACATTAAATTAATCGTTAATGGAACCCAGCCTCATTGTCTTATTATACGAAACTGTGAGTTCTTCATTAAATAAAAAGGAAAAACCCTTCAACAGTAGCAGCATCTGTATAAGTCTGTATCTCCCTAGATAGCCAGCAGTAGACAGTCACTCTGGGAGTTTAACGGCTGGGATGGATGATCCCTGGAGGCTGAGTGAGTCACTCAGGGTCATTTTGGGGATAGCGGCGCAGATCGCACGGCCCTCAGCCCACTCATTAAAACACTTGGCAGGAGAGAGAGGCTTAGCTTACACACTACTACTTCATCTACCTCTGCCAATAATCAATTCAGATGGGACGCCATGCATTAATGCTGTGTTTGATTACATAATTTGTGTGTGTGTGTGTGTGTGTGTGTGTGTGTGTGTGTGTGTGTGTGTGTGTGTGTGTGTGTGTGTGTGTGTGTGTGTGTGTGTGTGTGTGTGTGTGTGAACCAATGCAACAATTTCCAAGTACTATTTATATGTTCTGTTTTGACTGATCTGAGAAGTTAGTAAAGAAAACACCAAGTTTTCCTTATTTTGTTTTATTGTCTTCTTTTTAAATGTTGAATGATTTTACTTATTTGACCCTCATACGTTTTTTATAAAAGAGAGGTACAGAGCCGAAATCTCTCTTAAGTGAAGAAGCTAACCTGTAAGCTTACTAAATTGAACGTGGTACTTCAGTACCTTTTCTTATTTTACTATTTGCAAGCTTTTGGGAGCTCTCTAAATGAAAGCAAATGGACGGACTCATGCCAATTGAGATAAAGATGCTCATGAGTTTCTCTAAAGCAGGGGCGTCAAACTCATGGCCCGGGGGCCAAATCCGGCCCGCGACCTAATTTTATGTGGCCCGCAAGAGCTTGCAAAGAATATAATATACAATGCAATTGGTGTAATTGTTGAATATTCACTTTCAATTATTTGCCCTAGACTTCTGCTTTCAGACGTAGTTATTTAGGAAGATATTACCAGAACTGATAATAATCCAATGCAGGGCCAACAATGTAATATAATACATTATTTAATATATATTATATATTTACATATGTATATATTTATATATAATTAAAATTACAACCGGCCCTTTGAGTGCCACCATAATGCTGATGTGGCCCGGGATGAAATTGAGTTTGACACCCCTGCTCTAAAGATACCAGTTCAGCAAGGAAATTGTTATGTTTTTCCTTAAACAATAGTTTTATAAACATCTGCTTTAAATTCCCTAGTACAAGTGTCTTTTACCGTTAGCATGGCAAACATGCACTGGCAGACGTTGAAGGCATGTCTCCAGTTGTGATAGAGAACCATTCTGTAGTTTTTTCTGACCGTCAGCAGCCACCTGCACAGCGTCTGAGAGAAACACAGAGAGAGGGATGAGCACATGAGACAGCAGTTATCAAGAAGACACGTTGGTGAAGGAAAAGTGTTCTGGGCAAAATCTGTCAAGAATTCAAAGGAAATAGATGAAGTTGTCTCACCTCATAGTCAATCTTAAATTTCTGCACCATTCCCAACTCCATAAACATCCTCAGAGAGGCCGTTATCATGGCATCCATGTCCAGGGAGAAATCATCAAAGTACAGCTTATCGATGCCCAGCTCGAAAACCAGGGGAATGTTGGCCGCCTGTTTCATTGAGAAAGAGAGGAAAAGAGTTCAGAGAGCACAAGAGCATGGAGAGGTCAGAGGGTGCTGTGCCACTTTCAGATGATACATGGAAATATGAAGAAATGCTAATTAAGACTCCGAACACTCATTTGGTGAGGGTTAAGATTAATGAGGGAGCTTTAGCGGAGGTGTTCACCGTTGTTTACTTTCAGAGCTCATTGACGAACGTAGCGGTGCAGTAGTAATCATCAACAGCTTCCATTATTATTCAAACAAAAACAAAATCTCCCAACACATACGTGATTCCAATTAACCATATTCACACTGAAGCACCCATGTCTGCTGTCTTGGATGTGGTTTAATGAGCAGATATTTCTTATCCGCCATTTTTCTCTTCCTGTGTCTCCCCTCTAACAGCCACCATGTTTCCTTATCAAATGTTTGCCTGACGGGTCAGCAGGTATTCCCTTTTCTCTCAATTCACAACCCTGGGTTGCCAAATGTCAGCCAGGTTTGTTTTCCATTTGCACTTTGGTGGAAGCCCAGTCTAGTGTGCTCCGTGAGGCTCAATATGTAGAGCAGTTATGAAAGACAGTGGGGGGGGGGAAAGGGAGGAAGCAGAGCGTGGATGAGGGGGCTGAGAGATCACACGAGCTCACGGAGAAGCGGGGTTCCTACTTTGCCGTGATGGCCACAGGGGAACATCTTACACAAGAAAGTGCTGGAAAATAGGTCATATCTATATTTCAGAAGTGTCATGCCAATAAAAAATGCAGATATTTTCATTTCTTTTACTCTTTATAAGTAATGCATGGACAATGATTTTCTACTGATTGATGTAATACATTCAAATACCACAATTATCCTATTTTCATTGGGGAATTCCAGGCCCATATTTTTGCTCGCATGCTACTGAAGTTCTGGAGGAAATGGAAAAGGAAGTCTAAAAGACAGGCTGCCAATAATTCGTCTGTTGCATTAGATTTTTCTTTCCTATTAAATGAATGACAGGTTGTTATTGAATTAGAAACAAGATATCCTAATTAAAGAGCCCATAACAAAAATAAATGCATCATGAGCTACATTTCCAAGCCTTCACCTTCTTGTAAACAACAGTTTAAAGCCATCAGAGAAATCCAAATGTGTTTTACTGCTGATTTCTTGAATCATATTTTTGTTAACAGGTTTTTGCAGAACCACAATAGACCCTTTAATATTGTTCTTTTTCATTTGTCTTAATTGAACTCAATAAAAAGCAGAGACATTAAGGATCATGACTACATAAGTAGGAAAACAATGAAATTATATAAAGGCAATTACCTGCACCACCAGAGCAAACCTGATGATCAAACATTGTAATCGACACCAAGAGTGTGTATACACTGCAATATTTATATATATACAGGCAGACTGTCCTCACCAGAAAACATCAGATCACATAACATTCACATGGGTCCCTTTGGAAATAAATGACAAACAACTTATTTGGTCATTGAGTTATTAGGACTTAATTATTGGTGGTAACAGGGGGTTAAGAAATGATTCCACATCATCCCTCGTCCTCTACTTTGTGTCCACAATAAGAGCAATATATGATACCAGGTAGTTCAACATAACAAGTGTTTTGTTTGTAATGGCCTCAGTTGCCTCCAATGTTGAGAACATTTATGAATAATCCCATTCTGTTTATGAATAGCTTTGCAAACTATACAGCAATATGCTCGTTGAACGTATGCATGCATCTACTCAAGGACAGAGGCTCTCCTGAGCTCAGCTGAGCCGAGGAGGACGCTATTAATGTTTACATCTCACGCTGTCACGAGCATGAGCCTCTCGTCCATGAGATGATGTACGGTTCCTTCTGCACAGTGATGCTGTACAAAGAAAAGTGTTCCTACATGAAACTGCTCTCTACAAGTCTGTGGATTATCCCGAGTAACCGGGTCATGATTTCTGGATAGAAACCTTACTCTTTTTGTATTTTCTTTGAACATCACAATCAAAGTGATATTTGGTTTGACTATATTTCTTAGAAAGCTTACTATCTCTACGACCAATATCTTTAACAATCGGCATATCAGACCAAAACAATCTACATTGATAAATAGCTCTATAGGTGATACAATAAATATGTTAGGGGTAACCTGTCCCTTTTAATATCTGTCTTGAGCTCAGATTTATAAATAACTGAGTACAGCAGTCAGTATTAGGGGAAAGAGATGGGTTCACTCAGACAAATGTAATGATGAATATCAGTTACCTTGAATTTGTCAACTTCAGTCTTGGAGCAAGTGGCATGGTAAGACAGAACCTGTAAAAAAAAAATAATGACACGGTTTCACTCAATGTGTTATTTGTTTTATAATTAAGATAACCATAAGGGCACACTGGCGTTACATAATTTCAGTGGATCTTCCAGATGAGGAAGTTAACGCTCGCCTCTGGAACAGTTTACAAGAGCAGCGATGTCAGCCCTGATCACATCGCCATGTTCCCTTCATATCCTGTGAGAAATACCTCGCACAGACCTCCAGTTGCTTATTTGATCATAAACGCTCATGTTTATTCAGTGCTGCCAGGAGCAATGCATCTACATATTAGTTCACTGTGTGCCTCTCCTTTTAAATGCTCTATCTCTCATTCGGTGCTTCTCCTGTCTTGAAAGCGGGTGCTGAAAACGACCACAATGCACCTGAAAGCTCCCTATTGTAATGTAAGGACGTACCGTAAAGGCTGAGTAGTGCTGGATGCCCGCATACTGCAGGGCAGATGAGGGATTGCTTTTCACTGCCGCTCATTAATTTTCAATAAAACCTTTGTGAGAAGGTTATCTACGAAGAGATATCAGCACTTTTATTCATGCGTACAATCTTGCGGAAATATGAGACTTAAAAAAAGGAGCCGAGCACCAAGACCCCTGAGAGAGAATTACTAAGAAGAGGTTTATATATTAGCCAGCAGACGTTGTTTCCAAAGACTTGTGGGTAAAGGTTTTAGCACAGAGCATACAATGACGGGAAAGGAAAATGAAAAAAAACATTATGGCTAATGGAGAACAAGAACAGATAGGATGCACAGAGAAATATCATCTGAGAGAGGGCATGAAGCTAAAATTAACACAATCAGCAGCAGCAAGGAATAACTTCTCTCAAGTCACAGAACAATTTGCTAAGCATAAGATGTTCTAAGTAACGATAGATAATTCCGATTGGCGCCAATGTTATATTATGGTATACACATCCTAATTTATTTAACTTTTGCTAAGATACATTAACACAGCTAACAAACATGTTTAGCATTATGGGAAGAAGTTTCCAAGGGAATTTTAGTTTATTTGAACTTTGACACAGTTTGACTAACGTTAATGCGCTTTGCTGCCAGATCTCTGAAAGACTGACAAATCATACAAATTGGTCTCAAACAAAGTACATTTGCTTCTGATTAACCGGTAAAAAAATATAACTTTAATGCCAGAATATTTGGAAGATATGTGGCGAAGAAACGGTCATAATTTGTGTTCAAATGTTCTTCTCCCATTGAAGTTACTAGACTCAAACTGCCATTCGTCTCTAGAAGTAACATGGCAGTGGCGAAATCCACGTGAAACAGATACCAGAAAGGTACTTATTGCAGGGTTTCCTTATCTAAAATGTCTCTGTTAATAATTATTCTTTGCAAATGTAAGTAGACGAATAGATTTACTTTCTAACACAACTAAATTACATATTTGTGTTTCAATACTGTGATGTGAGGCAGGCAATCGAATGAGATGTTCTTACATCCAAAGCCACGGACTGCTTGGCCCAGGACTTCTTCACCTGGTCGTACATGATGGTGTTGTTGATGCCCAGTCCACAGAAGATCACAAACGCCTGTGAAAAGCACAGAGAGCAGAAAAACTCAGTAACAACAGTTTCTGATATATCCACAAGCTGCTGTATGTTTAAAAAGATGTAGAAACAAGTGTAATACTTCAAAGAGACGCTGGTCTGCGTCATCAAATGGTTGCCCATCAAGCAGGTTCAGCACTTGGGCGACACCTGTTACACAAACCATACAGTCAGAACTTCACAGTGATATTGGAAAGACTGACTCCAGTGCATATAACCTGCCTCTAATTAAAAGAGGATCAAACCCACACACTCATTGACTAACATGCATTATTAATGGATATTGAGGAGAGGCACAACACATACACGGTTACACAAAATGACATCACTGTGGCTCTGGTGAAAATGGTTTTCAATTAATGTTATCTTTGACAAGACGTCCAGTTATTGAGCACTATTCTGCAGCAGAATTCCCTGTTAAGATGGCTTCCCTCATCATCTAATTACAAGGCTTTGTTGATAAAGCACCATCTTTTATTGTCCCTGAGAAATTATGCTAAAAACTAATTACACAATACATTACCATTTTTATTTATCTCTATGAGGTCAAACCAACCTGCCAAAGTGACATTTTAATATCAATATATAGCTGGAAATCCACAGAGGAGAAATGGGATTAGTGCTGTAGCTAAGAACAATTTATTTAATGGTGTCATTACATTTTTAAAAAGACAGGGCTGGTTTTGTTCTCGGGTCTATTATTGCTCAATCTGTAATGAGCGTGTAATGTGTAATAAGTTGCAGAATAGGAGGTCCAAAGCATAACTGAGCTAAATGACTGCTTAGAGCCCTGTGGCCACCACATTATCTTTAACTATTCCTAGTGCCACATGTGTTTCATTATCACAAACAATACCAGACATATTTAAATGAGCTCCATTTTGAGTTTTGACATAAATTGCATTTTCTTGTTTTTGTGACTGTTCAATGCACAGTTTGATCACTAGGGGTGTTGAATGGAGAAAAAGGACTGACTTGACTTTGTTAACTCACAAGGAAATAAACCAAACAACCAGGCTTTATCTACTAAAGTAATACAGTAGCTGTTAATCATAATGGGACGTGCAGATTGTCTAATGAGTGGACTCAAATGGTGCCTTAAGTTGAACTAAAGATGTGTCAGTTTCTGTCTTCAAGGGACACTCATCATTTTACAAGCTCCTCGTGTCCTACAAACAGAAATGTTAATGTCCCGCAGTGGATTTGTCCAGGTCTCATAGAGTTTGAGAATTTGTAGCTGGACTTTAGAAACGCAGTTCACTCACAATCTCATTGCAACCTGGCAGATCTTGAGCTGTTTTGCAAAGAAAAATAGACGTTTTGTCTATTGATCAGTAATGGTCAGTAATGTTGTAAGACCTTGGAGGATTAAGGGGGTAAAATACTTTGTATAGGTTTAAAACACCCTGGTTTGTTTAAAAGAGTATGTTCGAAACTATAATCAACTGTAAGAGGCTCAGGGTCACATATTTGATTGATTTATACGGATTATGATCACAAAAAGACAACTGCAGCCCGGTTTCTCCTACTGACCTTTCATCCATTCATTTAAAACCCTGTAAGCCGTAGTATGACTTGGTCGATCGCAGGGCTCTCATTATTACGCTCAAACTAATAGATCAAACATTAAGTCCAAATTCCACTACACAGTCCACAGTCAAGGTGAGAAACCTGGATCCTGACTCTATACACTACTGTACAAGCTCACCTATAAGACCAATTATCCCAATAATCTCGGGTTAGCAGAACCAATATGTTTTATATTCTCAGGTAACTGAAATTTAAAAAGAATCATCACTACCTTTTAGAAAAGTAGCCATCATGGGTGGCATAATGCTAATGCTCCAGATTCACAAACAGTTTCTTCCCATGGGCCATTAGGACATTAAACACACAAAAATAACTCCCCATATCCCCACTGTGCAATAATCATGATCTGTCTCTATGTATACGCTGTAATATTTATCATATATATTTTATCATAATTCTATTTTATTCATTTATTTATTAATCGAAGCTGTGTGCACTACTTGCTGGTCGAAACTGTCAGACCTTTTAATCTGTGTTTTAATATATCTGTTTTCAAAGCACTCGCTGGAGCAGTGACTATAAATATCGTTGTATTCTGTACAATGACAATAAAAGCTTTTGAATTTGTCATTTGTACACTACACGCACATATGAAATGTAACATGACACGTCATAGTAACAGTATTTATTATGCGTATTCCTGGTGGTTACACAAGGACATTCACTTTCTAACTGAATGTATCCTTGGCTTGAGAATTTCATCTCCTGCCGCTTTGTTTGTATAACGTTTTTTTCACTCAAGATCCTCAGGTGCCACCCACACAAACCGCATTTCTTTCTCCCCCTCACTCTCTTTCCGTCCTTCTTACGCTTCCCTCTACCCTCTCCGACACATGCACTACGCAAAAAGAGAAAAAAAACACACACACACAGGTTTTAACCAACCATCCGCGGCAGATTTGCTGATCACTTTGCACTCAGATATAACGAATGACCTACTGCATCAGATCTCAGTGGACCGAAAGGAGCTGCTATCATTGCTCCTACCTGCAATATCCAGCAACAAAACCAGACGAGAGATCAATGATTTATCAGCGTGTCAGTGTGGTGTTGGCCTGGGGCTGATTCACAAACACAAAGCACACAGCGAGAAGAAGGGAACTCCAAGTGTGTAGTGATGGTGCAGCGTGGATCTAATCACACGCATGCAGCCTGAGCTGAGCACAAGCTCCCCTCTCCCTTTATGTCTACTACAGCAAAAACACATTTGAAACCTACATTGTGAGTGCTACACAATTCAAATTCACAACCTTTATTTATCCAGGTAAAATCCCATTGAGATCAATGATCTCTTTTTCAAGGGAGACCTGCAATGTTAGTGCTGATAATGTATCTGCATCATATATACACTTTATGACCTTAAAGTATGTGGACACCTCTTTCTTTAGCTTTGGAGCTGTTATTTTTTTAGCTAGTCCAATTCTTTCAGATTAGGGTAAATACTAATGCTTCCTCAGGATATTTTTAGATCATTGTTTGCTTACGACATTATGGAAACAATTTGGTTATGGCACTTTCTTGTTTGAATCTTAGACTGTATAAAAGACGTGGACATACTCAATGTGACATCACCCATTGTTTTGTGGACCTGGACTTAAAGCCTAGAGTTTTGCATTTGCCCGTTGCAGTCTTGCTGTTTTGGAACAATAATGTGACCGAGAGCGTGGAACAAAGTACATCTTCATGCTAAAAAATGTAATTTTAGGCAAACAAATGTTGCAATTAACTTTCATGAACACACACTTTTCAGACAACACCCAAACTGGGAAACACTGTTGAAGCGACTTCTTAAAGCATACCTTGCTTTATAGTCTATTTTTGCTTTATTCTATTTCTCGTCGTCTATTTTGTTTATTTGACCATAGTTTCAAAAAATGTACATCATTCAGTTTTGATAAAGACTTATAAATAGAGTTTGATACCAGAAAGTTGTCTTGAAAATCTATACTCGGGTAATAAATCAAGTAGGAAAAAGAAGCATCATTTTCTCATAGGATTCTATGCAATTGGACTTATTTGTGTCACATGGTAGTCATTTAAAAGAATGCAAGTTTAAGGAAACTCCGTTTTGGCTTCACTTTTCAGACCTGGAGGTTGTTGCTAAGTTTGGACATGACAATGCTCCACTTAACATTGCACGCCCGCACTTAACCGACTTCCATCACTCTTTATGATAACGTAAACGCCAACACAAAGCCAGGCCTCACCGTCCCACAGCCTGAGCTCACTAATGCTCTCATTGAAAACCATCCAAGCAGGGTAAGTGTTTAAAAGCTTGAATTAAATAAAACACTTTGAAGTAGTGTAAAAATATCAAATAACTATAAGAGAAAATGAAGCTCCATTTGTGAACTTACCAATGATTTGGTGGTTGCTGTTCCATATGGGAACACAAAGCACGGAGCGAATGTGGAAGTCTGAGAACTGGTCCGCCTGAAAGAGTGGGAAAAAATGTATTATCATCCATCTGTATTTATCTTTGCACTTTTCTCCAAGGCATTTAGTTTTAAGCATAACTAAGAGTTGTTATTCATACCTCAAAACTCTCTGATTACCCCAAAAAATCAATGAAAAAAACAGGCAAATTAATCAATGTATTTATATACTCTTTAATCTGATATTTCTTATTTAAATAAAATGTGACTAAGTTTAACCAGTATTTATTTTACAGCAAACTGCTTCCAACTGCTACTACAGCATTACACACTGCTGCATTTGAGACATAATACAAATAAAGAAGTTTATATTCTTAAAAAGTAGGGTGTGGACTCAAATATAATTTTGGCACTTGTGTTCAAATATTCACCCATCACGCATCTCGTCTTGCATTATATTTTCAACAGCCGATTTGAACGTATGCATGTACCTTTAGTAGAAGAGCAAGGCAACATGAAGGTATAGTACCAACCAAGTACACATATTTCTGTCACTGCTGCTTAAGGTAGAACATATCAAACTTTTGCTGCGTGCAGCTGGACGCAGAGCGGACTGCTTTGCTGGTTGCGGTGGGATTCTGTTGGAATCTATCAACACCAGCCTCTGCGGTTGACACTTCCTCCTTTATCCTACTGAGATCAATTTACAGCTGACAAAATGGAAAACTAGGCAGGGTGTAACGTCTCACCATGAGGTGCCAGTAAAACAAGAAAAGAAAAGTGAAGCCAAATGAGCTGAACTGGTTGTGAAGGCACTTCCAACAGACTCCAGCTGCTCTACCTGCATCTATTTTTATCTTCACACCTGGACACATCCTTAAAGTCATGTGTGAGTTGTTAAGGTCACACGACAGTCACATGAGAGATCACAGTCCAATTAATGAACATGTGAATCGTCACAGAACCATGAACGAAATATTAAGATGTAAACCGATAAACTGGATGAATGGTACGGTTTGACATGCATGGTTTTGACCCTTCCTTTTTGTTTCAAGCCATCTGTCTTCTCGTCAAAATGCGTCCGTACATAGCCATCCCAATTTAGCTCACCAAGGGGATTCACTGCCCATAATGATTAAATCCCATGTGACCTCATTGGCGTGTGAACATCCTATGGAGGATAACATTGCCAGGTCTGCACACTCGTTAGTGGAACTGAAGGTGCCTCTTGGATGTGTGTTGAAACATCTGCATCTGTCTTTTATTGAGCTCTTTTAAAAACTATGACCTAAGTGATATCCAATATTTGTTTGTTTGTCATGTTGGTTGAGATGAACACTGTTATTGTGTGTTTACCTCGGCATCAAAGCGAGGGTCCTGATAGGCATCACTGATGTTCACGGGGAGTCCTGTAGACGCCACCAGCTCTGCAATGCTGTTGTTAATGAGCCAGTCTGAGTAAGACGATTTCTCCATACTGTCTTTGAAGGGGCTAGGGACAGAACATAAGAAAGGACGATGAAAAATGGACACAACAAAACCAAAGAATTGTGCTGAGGCAAACATAAAAAAAAATTGTAATATAATTTATATGGTGTTAATTTGTTAACACAAAAACAACATAGTATTACTAAAAGAGTATAAAAGTCCGTTCTCCTTCAGTATAACGTAAAGAGATGGTACTGATTAAACTGCAAGCTTGCAAAAGGCCATTCTTATTCCTCCTTAAGGACCGTCTTTAACGTTGACTTGCATTTAATGACTTTCTCATACAGTAGATATCAGTGAGCTTCTCCTGTAGCTTATGAAGTAATGAAAAGTTAATTGTGTGATTGCCTAACACCCCCACACTCTGCCACAGACAGAAACACCTGCACCCCTGCACAGACTTCCCATTCACATTTACTGCAGTGGGCTGTGTCGCTGACTTTTAACTTCCAAACGCAACAAAATAAACGTTTAGTGTTGCTCATTTTGTCTTCCTAGCCTAGAATAAAGACACTGATGTCAGATCTTTTGAATCCCTTTGATCTAGTGATACAGCTGTGTATGCGACAATGTGTGTTTGTCTTTTAACTGCCACAGACCCACTAGCAGCACGGTGCATTCGCTCAGCGTTACCCTCACCATGGGGATGGCAGGGCATTATAAATCCCACAGTACTCTCACCATCTGACACCAAATATGTTCATTTAATTACACACATGGATCTTGCACAGACGCCCTTGTTATTCAGATGTGAACCTTTAGGAAGAGTAGTGTCATCACAGAGACACTGCATTCCTGTCATTTCAGCTTAGTTTGTAATGTGGCGTTTCATTACTAGGAATCACAATCTGTTTGTTTATTTAATATACGACCCCAGAAACAGGGAGTGTGATTAGTCAGAAAGAAGACTGATGTTTATTAAATTACTAATAATGTCTAACTATTGGAATTTCTGGTGTTCATTTTTTTTTTATTGTTGTTGTTGCAGTTCATTGCTTCCTTGAAGTAACCAATCAGTAATGGTAAGTGCAAGACTTGGGGAATAACCCACACAATATCCCACACAATTTCAAGCCTCTCTTTCTCCATCCCTAGCAGTGGAGAAAAGCAGCAAAACCCAATTAAGTGGGGCTCCTACTGTATATTTACAGTATACCTTCTATTCAGCATCAGCATATTACTCTCACAGCACTGAAAAATATTCTATGTTTATATTTCTCTTATTTCTTTCCTACATGGATGCTTTACAAATTTAATTAAGGCAAATATGACTGTTGAGGTAAAAAGGTTTATTGTATTAGAAATGTGGAAAAGAAAGCATACGCCATGTTGTTTTTTCAGCCGGATGTTACTGTGGAGTAGATTTTCCCACTGAAGCACCAAACATACCTGATTTCAGTGTCTGCACTACACTTGGGGGACAGTAGCTCAAAAGACTTGGTGAACTTGACCACCTGAAAGATTTAAAAGGAAATAAAATCACTTAATCTCTTGGAAATAGTGTGTGGAGGAACACAGTATTCATTGACAAAAATTGATGCAGAGATGTACTAGTTCAAATGTACAGACTGGTAGACACACAGTAGAAAACAGCAGTAAAAAATAACCGTACCGGTGACTCAATGTCCTCCAGCAACTGAACAGAGCAGCGCTCACACTTTAGCAATGTCTGGGCACGATGCATGATCTTTCTGACAATCTTCTCCAGGTCAGTCTGCTCCTCAAACAGGTCATTGACGACCTCCAAGAGGGCCTGAAAACCATCAACAGGAAAAACACTGCCATTATTCCCAACAATTTAAACAACATGCTGTTTTAAAACCCATTTTAGATAAAGATGCTTTGCCTCAATCAGCTTTCAGACTACTTATTATTATATTTATTATGATAATCCTTAAACCATGAACCAATAGGAGGAAATACCATGATCAGTATTCCCAATAAAAGTAAATTAGGCCCTTTTTATTGAAGGCAGTGTCAATCCAATTCATACAAATCATATGGTGTGAAAGGAGCTCCCCTCCATTCACTGAGCGCTGTGTTCTCATTATGTTCTCTTCCATCACAAATCAATGTGTGACATGAATTAGTGCATCTCTTAACATTCCCTGGGAGATTTAGATCATGGATCAGGCCCCGGTCTGCATACAGGCCCCTCCCCCAAGATCCAGAGAAAGTGTCCATGCAGGGCTGCATGCTGCTCTGTGATCCCCACTGCAGTGGCAGCAACTGGGCTGCTGCTGATCAATACTCAGCCTCAATGTCAGCATTAGGGGAGGGGGGCAAGTTTGGCTGATCCCAGGGATGGGGGGGGTTTATTAACCTTACCCGACTCCTGTCATACTCCTTCCTTGAGGCGGCGAAAAGTTGGGCATTGGTGATCGCAATTCCACAGAAAGGAAGGTACATATGCAGCACCTGTTGACATAATAAACAGACTTTTGTTATTTACCAAACAGCATCCCTAATGTCACAAAATGACTGCTATTATATGCCAACATAAATGGTTGAGAGGCCGAAAAACCTACAAGGCAAAGATGTTTTTAAAGTAAAATAAAAAGGTAGCAACATGAGAGAAACACTGAGTGTAGCCTGCCTTTCATTTTGTTAGAAAACTCTGCAGGGTATGTTTTATGCTGTAGCCATTTTTAGAACTGGCTCTAAAATTGAAGCTATTTATCGAAAGGAAACACAACAAAAACGAGTAAATAATATTTCCATTCAAGAAAAACGTAGCTTTCAAATTCGAACGCATAAAAAATTGCCTTTTATTGGCAACATTACTTGCTAGTTGCCAGGACAAATACATAAATTCATCTGACATTTTACCATTTGACTGAATAGTCGGACTTACTATGCCCTGGGCTGATAACATGAATTCCTTATTTCCCTCATATTTCCTTCACATAAATAATGCAATCACTTCATGTGGCCTAATGACTGTATTTAATAAGTATCCTGAAATCGAATGATTGATTCAGTGTGGAATTGAACTACATTATTTCCCTCCTCACCGCTGTTGATTCATAAAGAAGAGCAGGAATGAGGCAGAGAGGTGGCTGTTCTTGGATATGAATACACGGGTTGACTTCTATACGACTACAATTAGCCTTATCTGAGAGACACTCAGCTCCCGTAACATGGAATCAATAGGATTTAGGTTGTGTGCTTCCTTACTCTACCTCTGTGTTTAGCTATCTATCTTCAGCATCTGGATGCTGTGTCAACAACACAATCGGTACAACAAACCCACTAATATTTACCATCCTTCAGTGTGACCTGAGGGTAGGGACACTACAACAATACATGAATGGGAAGTTACTCAGCTGTGGCCGCTGATACAGGGATATCTCTCTCACCTTTCAGAGAGAATAAAGCATCAGTTACTCGTCAGCCACAAATGAACATGTAAAGAACAGGAGCGTATAGCACTGTGTTGATAACTGGGGCGCTTGTGCCTATTTAAAAAGCTTTTTTTAGGTAGTCAGCAACCTGGAGTTAGTGGAGAGATGTCACATGTAGATGGATGTGCAAGAAATAAATGCATTGATATTGGCGGTTTGTATGTTTTGATATACTTAAAATATTTAAAACATATATCCTTACATTACACTTGGATCTTCTTCAGTGCTCTTTGGTTTGATCACATGACAACTTGTCAGCTCTAATTGCTGGGGTCATGATAATTGTAGACTTAAAGATGGCGTCGCAAGTCGAGAAAAGGTTGAGAAACTCTGCTCTAATTGCTACAATTTCTCTTTACAATCAAACAGGTCTCCTGGGTTAGCTGGATCTTAAATATCTCATTTTATAAGTTAAGAGAGACAACCATTGTATGGGGAACATACAATGGTTGATTGGGAAAGCATACATTACCTTTAAACTAATAAATCACGCTTCAAATCCTTGTCAAACATGTGTTATATACTGTAAGCGCTTAAAACATACAAGCTTTGTCAGTCTTGTGTTGAATGAATGTGTGTTTGTATTTTGGGGGATCACACTTTTGGCATTACTAATGATAGGGGTTAAGGTGAGGGTTATTTTAAATTTGATAAATCAAAAGCATGAAAAAGAAGAATTCTCCTGCTCTGGAATGTCACGCCGAAGCTCATATTATGATACCCTTTTATGCTAAGTGCAAATTAAATCACTAAATGAAAACCAATTGTAATCATAATTTGGTATGAAATATCACTCTGTCATTGCTAATGAGTGCATTAACTTTATGCACTTCATTTAGTCATTATACATAATCAAGCACCTCATGCAATTGTGGTCAGACACGGAAAACAGATGATGCCGAGTAAAAAGCTCATACATAATGCCATTTCAGCTGGAATTCTCTGATAATGATCTTCCCAGAAAGGCAGTGGCCGTCAATAGCCCCGGCAGGAGCAGATTCATTAGCGAGCAGGACTTTGGGGATCTGGCTATGGATCTACAGGCAAACCCAAGAAAAGCAGCGCGCTCTCTAATTACATTCTGTCAGGCAGGCCATTATACAAGGTTGCATTACAAACAAGACGTTTTTGCCTAGAGACCTGTGGACTGACTAGTAAAGAGTGGTTTAATAACGAAGCTAACTGGCCGAGGCCTCAGGGACAGTCAGTTCCTCTAACCTCAATGACTTCTACTTCCACAACTGGAAATTCATATGAGGCAAGCGGAGGGAAATGACATAGACAGCACTTTCTTTCTCCATAACAACTACTAGTTGCACTGCATGTACGGTAAAGCGAAGCCATTGTTGTTTTGCCAAGAATTGTTCTCGGGAATAAAAATGAAGCTCTTTATTTTCTCTGATCTCATATGGGACTCCCTGGCTTGTGTCAGCAGAGTGCACAGCAGCTTTACAAACACACTTAGCAATGATTGCTTCTTTTAGAGGTATCAAATATTTATGCAACAGGAATCTATACTCCAATACATTTTACAAACCAAGTCACTGTTATAAATCATTATTATCTACATTAATATTAAAATGAATACCATGTAATAAAAGAGCATTATGTGTCCTGCCTTTATGCCACTTTAACAAGTACAAATTAAAACTACATCAAATATACAGTACTGGCTGACTGTAATTTAAGGGCACTAATACAGCAAAGCTAATAAACACTGTACCACGCTAAGAGTGCCGCTCAATTATTATTAATAACCATAAATAATTAAATTGTTCTACACATAGCTGGCATATGGAAAAACGCCAGGAGCAAAGCGAGGTCACAACAACGAAGCGGCGGCTGTTGCATCAGCGCGTTACATCAAGATAGATCAAGTCTCTGCAAACACTTATTGCTCCTCGGACGAATATTATGGGGACATAATAAATGAGTAAAACTAGAAATATGAAACCTTTCAAACTACAGTGGCTTTCAGATGATTTCTTGTTCTTGTAAAGAAGTGCACACAAAACCTAAAGAGAAATGTTGCCCTTTATTTTAAAAGATAAACCGTGACAAGAGCATACAAACAAAGCCTGACATGCTTCTATTCAACAACTCACAACAAAGTCTTAATATTCAGTATCTACATTGAAATGCCTGTAAAATGTGGCTTTAGAATTATAATATACTCCATCTGTCAGGCTTTACTTCAGAGATTACAGCAGGGACTAAACCTGGTGATTTCTCCACAAACATTGCCACAATCACACCCAGCTCTTGCTAAATTGAAAGATGTCTTTACACAACACGGTAGTGATCAGATCTAAGTGAGTCAAAGGTTGCTGTTTTAATTTGATGAGATGTAAATGGGTTGTACCTCTGTATAAATATCAGACCTTCATCAGTGTGGAAATAAGGACATTGCTGTTGAGCTATAATTCCAAATCACTGCGCCAAATCACACTCTTTTATTATGAAGTTGTGATACACATTTGATCTGTTGGACACCATTTTGTTAAATGAAATTACCAAACATCTGTGAGAAATAGATAGGCATCCAGTAACCTACAGTATATCTGCGTGTCTGCTTTGCTCTGTATCGGTTAGTGTTTGCTTGTTTTGATAGTTGTCCAGTCAGAAATGGCATTGTAGTTTAAAACATAATTTTTTGGCATTTAACCAACGTAAATTGGTTGTTCCTCTTATTCTTTTCACATGAAACAAAATGTCCTCTATCTCTTATATGGAAATCAACAACGACAGTTGCATCGGATTGCAAACAGCCCTAGTAAATCTACACCGTTACAATGCATACTGGTTGTGCACTTGCTCCAAATCAAAGAATCCAAAGAGTCATACAACTACCTCTTCCATTTATTAAAAGAATGCAATATCAGAAACAGGATAATAGACAAGGAGTCAATATTGAAGTTCATTTAGCTCACTTAGCCAGCACTGAGTTTAATTGAAGCCCTTGATCCCCATCTTCATCCCTCTATCTGTTTCCCATTTCAGATGCAAGACAGCAGGTCTGCTTGGGTCCCCACTCTAAAGTATGTCATCCTTTTGCATTATTTACATGTTGCGAATGTCATTGTCATTTTTCATTTTTTAGGGGGACATTTTGCTGAAATACAGAGAAGAATGTCAGGAACCAGTTTGGTATGATGAACTTACTACACTTGATCCTACATCATGCAGGAATCATTTTAAAAAAAAACATGTGTCTCAGAGCAGAAATTGTGTTCTCTCCTCTTTAGCTGAAGATCTACATTGGGACATTTTGTAAAAGTGGTTATGACAGTGTGTCTTCGAGCCAATTGGGAGTTTGGCAGCCAGAGGGAGCACAGCGCTGAGGTGAGAATTCTGTTTGACAATCCACTCACAGCGACATATTGGCAAATGGGAACTACTGTATGTGGCAGAACTAGAAAATTCATGAAAATGTCGACCTGGGTAGTTCATTTCATGTCTAATGTATTAGCTCAAATGTATGAAAAGGCATGCAAAGTGAAGGAAAAGCCAAATCAAGATTATAACGCAAGATGTAGAGAAAGCAAGATCAGCTTAAACACTTACATTAAGCCAATTGCTATATTCCTGTACAGAAGATAATGAGACAATGCAATTATACACGGGTTGAACCATTATCCAGGCTCCCCAAAGGACTCCCATCCTGCAGCGTATGAACACAACACAATTAAGGCAGCGTGGGATTTAAAAGCAGCCCTATAATGTGTTTAAATATCCTATAAGCTTTCAGACAACGACATCCATTGTAATAAAGGGACGCTAAGATTTCTAATGACATCTGCTATTGCAATATCATCTCTTGCTTTGGAAATTGTGATACATTCTCTTATTACTAGGTCTTGTATAAAAGCAGGGCTGCAGCTGTGCTGAGCAGAGAGCTTACTGTGTTCTCTGACGCTACCATTGCATTTCATTACTAATTCAGCTGTAGCCATCCCGAGCATTAGTGTGACGTTAATGTAATGTGAGATGAACTCAAAACATCAGAAAGAAAAGAAAAAAATCATTTCTAATCTGCATATACTATGAACAATGGATGTCATTTTGACAGTAGAGCTCCAATGGCGACAAAAACATTAGAATAAAAAACTCTTCTGCAGTGAAACATAGCCCTAAAACAGAAAAGGCACAGCTAGCTCTTTGCTTTTATGTTTCATCTCTTCTCCCCTCACAGCTGCAATAAGAGAAGCCAGTGTGTTGGCTTGTCTCCGCCTCTCTGTAACATCCATTCATGTGTGCTGATGGACTAAACACACTCGGCTCCGCGTGCCTCTCTGATGATGGCAATAAGTCAAATAAACATTCATTCAGAAAAAGATCTATCAGGACCAACCCGAGAGATGTAACACCCCCACCTACTGCTTTGACATATACTGTATACACTGCATTCATTCACTAACATTTGTGTCTTTGTTTTGCAGCTGCCAACATGGCTGATCTCTTTTCAGACTGAGTTGATTCACAAAAAGGTAAAACAGTGAATTGTTGCATTACTCAATACTGCTCGTCACTGTACAGTGTTTTTCATTCATTATTTGACTTTCTATGTTATTTCATTGCTCTTTTTACTGCACTGTTAGTGTACAATTTTATTATTATGCTGCTATGTTTATTGTATATTTGTAACTCTTGCACAACAATTTCATTCGGGATAAATAAAGTCCTATCTCATCTTGTTTTCAGTTATCCAAGAGCACGCTTCAGACGTCTTGAATCAACCAATAAATCATTAACAATTCATATACATTTGTATCCTGTACACACATCTTGAAGACAAATCATGTGGTGTATTCGGCATTAAGCTGCTCCATACAAACAGTATGTCCTTTTTGCTGGTGTTAATGCGTCAAAATCGCATGAGTGGTTGTGAAATCTAAATGGTCACACTAAATGAAAGCCCGACACCTTGGCTGTCGCACTAAAGTGAAGCCCCAACCAATTGGACATTCTGAACAGCTTATATAAAGATGTTATTCTGGGTGACACTTCAACAGCGCCCTGGCCCTTTGGAAGAAACTGCCTGAGGAAAATGTGATGATGCTGAGAGACAAGCTATGACCTAGCTACAAACTGAGCACTGAGACTCAGGGCCAATATGCTACAAGTCAGACTGAGCTGTAGGAATTAATGAAATAATAAATATGAGTTATGTTCAGCCAAGACACAGAAACAAATAAATAAAGGGTGAACATTAATGTCTGTTTATCAGACAGCGGCTGTAGTTAGTGTTTCTTAAGACAGGATGCAAGAGGAAAAGACAAATGTAGCGCAAAGAGTGAGCTCTGATCAAATTCTGAAGATGATATTGTGATGTTCATCTCAGATTTTCACAATTCTAATTAAGTAAAAACGAAATGGTCAGTCTGAGCATCCGTCACAAAAAAGTCCTATAGATCAATGCCCCAATCAAAGAAACACTCGCAGATCAAACGGCAAATCCTAACATACAAATTGTGAGAAAACCCCCTTTTAACTTCGGAAAAATCCATCCATCAAAATAAAAACGCTGCTTTGCTTCTGCACAACAAACCCTACATAACAGTATTTGCCTAAAAATAACCCTGAGAAACATCCTTGAAACACAACACATGAATCATGAAGTCTGAACATTTTCCCTCTGCACTAGACTTCTCTGTGCTGCAATAGTAAACAAAACTAAGGCCATGCTAGCAGCTCTGCTCGCGTCAACATGACAACATCACAATGAAAATGTTACCGTGCAGATTGTCATGTTTACCGTTCACAGTCTTACTTTAGTGTGTAAGCAAAGCATGCACGTTAGCCTGTACATATATCAGATATTTACTTACAGTATAAGCCAAAATATTGGATTAATTAAACTTGTTGATGGTGCTAAAGAAAAGCTTTCCAGAGGGGAAACTTAAAGGTGGGGTTGGTCATTTTGGAGAAACCAGCTCGAGTGCGCTAGAATTTGAAAATACCATAGACTGTATAGGAAAATACACAGCCGGAAAAAATCTGCCACTTCGTTACAGAGGACAGAGCCCCTCCTCCAACACACACGAACGCGCACATGACCAATCAGGGCACAAGATAAGTTTGTGCACAGGCTGACAGGCAGGTAGGCCATCCAGTTATTTTAGCCAGGCCGGCTAAAATTATTGGTCGTGCTTTTAACAGTAGCCTACTACGGCTTCCACAGGTTACATTTTTTTATGGATTTGTTGTCAAAGCACTTAAGATATTCATTGCTATCGGCATGTTAAGAGCATTCCATGGAATATAACAAAAAGTGTATCTCAAGCCGGTTTCTCAAACGTACCTACCCCATCTTTAATGTCTGTTCCAGATTTCATTGCAATTCATCCAACAGATGTCAAAACATTTTACTGGTGGCGCTAGAGGACAATTCACATCATCATGAATCATATATCTTCTGGGTAGGATGTCTGTAAAAAATGTCTTTGCTCTGTGGACCAACTATTGCAATTGTTATCCCTTGCGCAGGTTAGCAAATGTGACACTAATTGTAAAGAAGCTACAACTTTGCCACAGAACCATGAGGAGATATAGTTATTGGTTACCTCATATAAATCACTGGTAAATGAGCATTCCATAATTGTTCCCCCATCATTTCATACATTTATTCAAATAAATAAGCGCACAAACATCAGCATTTATATAATTTTTACTGTAATTACCTTCTCATCATCTTCATTGAAGAGTTCTCCAATTGAAGTTTTGTTGATGGCCTGAGCAACTCCAATAATATCTCCATCACTGTTGCATATGGGCATGCACAGGAGTGACCTGGTTTTGTACCCTGTCAGCTTGTCAATTTCATCACTGAACCGACGATCCTGCAATCCATAGGGACAGTGCAAAATTAAGACACAATGTAAGCACAATGTTTTGCCCCCCCCAAAAAGCACTTTTTCCCTTTTTACCTTCAGCTGACTGTGCAGCAAAATGTACAACTCATCAGGACTCCATGTCTCACACACCAAAAACATACTAGAAAGGCAATATGATTTATAACATGTCTGGCTTGAAGAGGTTGTGTATGTGTTTATTAGGGCCTTCCTGGACTAAATAAATTATTAGTTGACTAACACTGATGCCAGTTTGTGGACTAATCGATTACTGGACTTATTCAACAGATGTGTAATAAACAACCATGTAAAACCACCACATTTAATCTTGTGTTTACCAGAGGTGTCCTTTAACTTTATTGAAAATAACGTCAGCATGAGACATTTGTCCACTAGTTAACTGAGAGGGGGCAGCCTGACTGTTTAAGGACATTAAAGCAATGTTAGTTCACATTTGTATACTCATTTCTACTGGTACACATTTGGTACCAAGTAACGGTATTGTCTTAAAAAAAAGCCTCCTACTTTAATGTAATCTAGTAATGTCTCACTTTCTTAAGTAGACAAAGCTACGTTTTTAAAAACCACAGAGAGATCATTTCTCCCCTCCTTTATTTAGTTATTTATTTTCCTACGATATGTTCTTGTGAATCAGTTGTTTGACAAACAATCAGGCTGTTGGTCTCCATGCTCTCAGCACTGTAACCCAGTTTGATTGATGATCAATTAATGGGGTCTGATAAGATGACAGGGTGAAAGCAAATAACCTGTCTCCCTGTCTGAGTTTATTCCTCTCTCTCTCTCTCTCTGTCTCTCTTTCTTTCTGTGACTCATGCAAATGCACACATGCATGCATGCACAAAGAGGAGCAGGCACCTGATAAGCGTCAGAAATGTTCACTGTCTCTCCGTGTTCAGCCACATATCCAATGATTCCTTTCCCCCACGGCACTTGAACTTCATCTGAATTAATTGAGGGTAACACTTTTGTACCCGCGTGCACGTCAAAGAATTTGGACACCAGTGTCTTCTTGTTGCCTGTGCCCTCCACTAAAAACAAGGAGCAGCGGTCTGCATCCACCATAATACAAACAAACACAAGTATTTTGTAGCTGAGACTCGTAAGATCCAAGTCGTTAGATATGTCTTTTACAAGCTCCAGGAAAAACTCTCTCTCGTTGTGTTCTTTGAGGTAATATTTAAAATCCACGGCTGTGGACGGGTACTGGGGGATGTTGACTCTGGACTCCAGCAGCGCGCTCAGGATGTGCGCAGTGGTGGGGGGCAGAGAGCTCGCCTTCCTCAGCAGAGCTCTCCTCCTCATGCTGGTCAGGGGCTCCTGGGCCCTGGTGTTCACATGTTCGTCGTATGTCCTGTTCACATTGATGGCTTTTGATCTGGCGAAAGTTTTGCGCAGCTCCCTCTGCGAGGTTCTCCTCTGCAGACCATCACATTTGCTCGCCCAGCTGTCCTTACTTTTCTCCTCTCTGGGCTCGGCGGCAGGTGCAGCACTTTTAGACGCCTTGTGATTCTTGAGCCATTTCTCCACCATGCTATGTTTCCCCTTTCTGTTCAGATAGTCTTCGAATAACTCGGGATGCGAGTCCAGAAAACTTTCCACGTCAGAGAACACCATAGTTGACACTGCCATGTCTGTTCTTCAGAGGGTCCTCAGAGAACCAAATCCATGAAGACGCGCAGAAAAATATCATCTATGAAGTTTTACTGAGAGTTAAAGTAGAGAATCGTTACAATACCATAACTTCCAAGATGCATTGTGCTGGGAACAACCCCGGAGCCCTGCCACATAATCCAGTTTCCACTGATAGTGGATGGAGACTCCCTTTGCGCACCAGCATATTCCTCCACAGCATCTCCACGCCGCTCACTTAATTTAAAAACAATAAAGAAGATAAGGAAGGGAAATTTAGATAACCACATGCATTGGAAATCTCACAGAGAGCCACCAACGAGCGAGCAACACCGTCGTATGGGTCTTCTTGTGCGCAGATGACGCTGGCTGTGGTTGGCTCGATGCCGCTGACGCTAACTTCGTCACAGAGAGGAGCGTTGCTCCAGCAGTCACTCAGTCCTCTGGCCATCTGAACCGCCTGCCCTCCTTCAAAGTGTTTGATGGTGATGATGATTACAATTAGGATGCATTCTTCTATCATGCATAATGTATGAAGCATATTGTGAAGGCTTTATGAAGTTGTAAAAATTGTAGATTACAGTGCTGGATGTATGCTCATTGATTAAAATGTGCTTCAGCAATAATTCAATACTCCACCAAATTTATAAGGCTTATTTGAGGTAGAAGAGCCCCAAGTTGTGGGTGGATTATAATTTAATGAAATTATGCTTCAACATAATGGATTTCTATGCAGTCAAGACAAGGCGTTGGTGATGGCACTGCTGGCTGCCAGAAGTAATCAAGTTGAATGACTGTCGCCCGAAGAACAATGTGTATCATAGCATGTATACATTATATAACAGATACTGCAACTCGTTAATACATCTATTTCACAAGCCGCCACACACTTTGGAGATGTGGGATCAGCAATGGATGATCTATACAATTTCATTATGTAACATTTTGTTGACAGGAAGGGATGTCAGAAAATGTAATTCCTTTATACAGAATTGTTGGTTAATCTGTGTGCAGGTGTGACATGTGAACGCTAGAGGGAGCTATACTCCACAGCATAGACTGGATGTACAACAATGTATCCCTTTTAATAATACATTTAAATTAAAGATTTCCCAAGAAATGTCGAAAACATGTAAGAGTCATGACAATGAGTCTTAATTAAAAAAAAGAAAACATTGGATTGCATAAATACTTGCTAGTTAATGACATCAAGCCAAATCACTTTATTACTATAGCAGATTTTGCCAACCTGCAGTGCCCCAGACACACTCAACTGTCAGTCAACATCTGTAACCCAACATGATCTTCAACTTTCTTTCAAATACAGTCTTCTCCTCATGGCCCATTTCAAAATACAGAGAATATTGCTCTAATTTCTGAGCCAACTCTGTTGAAACAAGAATAATTGAGACCTGAAATGATAATCCACACTTTTTCAGAAACCCAATACAGACCACTTAGTAGTAGTTACAAAAAGTGAAACAAATGACAAAATAACGTTTAGTGTCAATTTTATTAACCTTGCAAATTCAGAAAAGGCATTAAAAAGGCATCATAAAATTGGAAGCAGATAAGGCATGCAACAATTATTAAGACAACTTCATAATAAATCAAGAAAACCAGGATGACAATGACAAAACAAAATTCAGCTTTCAGTCCCTACATTCTGAACATACAGTATATGGTTTAATAATTTATGATAGAAAAATGAAACCTGTTAAAACCAGGGGATTTACGCATTGCTTGTTCCACCACACGTGGATCATGTCAGAAACAGAGGTACAGCTGTGACAAAGATGGTGAACTGTCATGCCAATTCCATTAAGAACTTGTTTGTCGTTGTGCCTGGTTTTGAAAGAACGGCGTGAGTTCCTCTTTACCCATTTGTCAGGGCACAAAATAATAGAAAGCTGCACATATGAAATGTTCTTTATGAAGTTGCAGACTTGAGATATGCTACAACATCCGTGCGTTCTCCCTTCTTCTTGATGCCAGCAAAGATCATCTTTGTTCCTGGAATGTATTTCTTGGGATTTTCCAAATAGATCATCAGGGTGTCGTCATCCCAGACAATGCCTGAAATCAAAGAATAGATAATGTGTAAGGCATACAGCATTATTCCTTAGAATATTCAGTTAGTTTAAAATACATGTACTGTATTTACCTTTGCTTTTGTTGGCATCAGTATAGGAGTAGCCAGCTGCCTGGCCTGTTTTGCGTCCAAACAGACCCCAAAGGTTAGGCCCGACCTTGTGCTTTCCACCATTCTCCACACTATGGCACTGGGCACACTTCTGGACAAACGCCTTCTTTCCTTTGGCAATATCTGCAGGCATGGTTTCTACAAAAGGTAACACAAATACACACAATTAGGACTCAATTTCTTAACATTATTGTCAGAAATAACCAATTAATGCTGAATTATTTCCATTGTAATGCAATTGTTTTGACATTATCCATGGTTGCTTTTCATTTTGATTGTAAATGTCCCCTCTGTAGGACGAATAAAGGTATTCTGATTCAGTGTCATAAGAAATAAAGCGCTGTGTCCTCATTTAGCCACAAGGGGGCGCTCACTTCAAAGTTGCGTAACTGATGTGTCCTTGTCATTGTTACAAAACGGACTTAGGTGGTTACCGAAACACCAGAGTCTTTGTTTGAATAAATACATCATTAACTATATTCGACTGAAATATCAGTAATGAATTTCATCCCAAAAAAGTATTATAGGTTGTGAAATGAGGCTCCTGAATACGGTATCCTACTTTCACAGGCCTAGTGTCAAATCGTCTCACATACCAACATTAGGTTAAACACTGACTGCAATATGTACAAACAAATGTTATCTAAAGGTTCATATAAACACTATTAAAGTAAAAATATAAAGAGGATTGCTGAATAAAAACTAACTGTAGGCGTCTCTCCGGAAACAGCGTTAACACCGGCAGTAGACCACGTTACACAAGACAGTTACCGGCAAAGACAAATGTACATCCTATACGAATATACTAATGTTAAATAAAAGGCAGAACAGTTAAAGAGTTTACCAATATGCTTCGTACCTTTCTGGTTGTGTTCAGTCGTCTAAGTGAGACTTAATTCCTCTCTTTTTGTTCTCCTCTACCGGCTCTCTCAGTCACAAGTGATTCACAAACGTGCATCACCAGAGTTACTCCCGCTGAAACGTCATCAGTCATGTGACCAGTTTCATCATACTCCTTACGTCCTTACGTTACGACCAGCGCTGGTTAGGTTACGACCTTAGGAAGGACAGCTGTTCAAATTCCTCTGTTATCAAATTACACAACGTAAAACCACAACGTGACGTGTTTCATTGAGGGTAGTTAACTGTCAGTACGATTTTCTTTTGTAGTTCTTGCTTAATTATTAACAAAGTTGGCTTAATCATTATTTTTCTTAGGAATGAATATGCCTTGACATTGACGTTTGACTCCCTGAAGTGAATACTTTTTTTATAATAGGGCTAAACGCAGGGTGTGGATCATCATGTCATCAAGGCTTAATTAGGTTGTTTCAACAGTTCTGGCTCAAGTGAATTACAGCAATATTGTTTAATTTTTTTATATATGTCAGACAAGATTCTGAAGATGATATGTGAATCATGAATGCAGCACATTTTTGAAAATAAGGTTATACTTAGAAGTTGTTTTGCCAAAGTAAAAGTTAGAGATGATCACCATGTCAGGCTAAATCATATTTGGCCCATATAAACTATGTTGTTACAGACCAGAGGAGAAAGTCAGTAGATTCTCTTCTAAATTAAGTGACTTTTTAAAACTATTTTTAATAAAACATTTTGCATGTGAAAACCAAATAATTTCTTCCTTTTGCACAACAAGTAGACATTAAGAATGTTTCTCTATATTCTCAAATCAAGAAACAGATATTAATTTACATTTTCACCAGTTTCTGCCCATACAGAGCAAGTTATGTGAATGAGGAAGAGCTTAAACTGGAGCATTTTCAGGTTGGATAAGCATGACAGGAAATATGTTACCCAACCATATTTGGGACAGACAAAGACAGATGAAAGAGTTGGTTACCCTTTCCCATGGACTGCCTATCAAGTTACTTTTGTACCTAAAATATTCTCCATAAAGCCCCCCTCTCATGTTACATTTGTAAACAAAGTATTCCCCACTGTGTGGGAAAAGCCCAGGAGTGGAGGTTTCCAGGATACCATGCAGAAGTGCACACATTAAAGCGAACCAAACAATCACAATCTGCTCCAGGCCCTGTATGTGTATTATGCTGATACTAGGGTCACCTTGTCTGAATTCTGACATCAGCAGGGTGTGTTTCTATACGTGGCGGTTTCTGTATTGGCTGACAGATGACACATTTGAGCCAAAAGACATAGCATCATAATAAAAAGATTACTTGAATCATCCATTACTTTCATTTAGCTATCTATTTGAACTGTAGATTCATTATTTTTCAGCTAGACTTCTGCTCAAGTGGTAAGTAATTGTCAGGCACACGGCAAGTTCGGCAACTCAATGTGTTCAACATACAGCCGCCTGACTGCATTAGCTATAGGTGGGCTGGTCATGGTCACAGCCCATAAGCATCAGAAGAACGTGAAAGAAGATAACAAAAGAGGTATAAATGATATATTCATAACCATACCACACCAGTAGTAATCAGCTAAGGACAACTACATACAATATCTATACATCAGATTTTTTTTGGTTAATTGTGAACAATATTGATGTGGAGAGGCTGAAATATGCTGCAAAGAATTACGTATGAACAATCTATATACATTTCACTTTACAGAATATTCAGTATAAAAAAAAAGCTAATGTTGACAGTGATATAGATGTTACAACCAGAATATATTACAACAATACATTATACAATACTCTGTTATTTGGTTTAATTGCATATTTCATAAGCAAGTATGTAACTGATAAGATTGAATAGAGTTGAGCAAAATGAAAAGATGAAAGCGGCTGGGTGATCTTTTCCTTTTAGTT